GAGTGAGCATACATTTGTATTTCAGTTACAAGGATTTATTTACATACTAGACCTGAATTATGCATATGATTAGTGACCGGGAAATAGGATAGGCAATAAATTGAGTAACCTGTTGTTGATGTCTTTTTGTGTATGTTCAGAAATATAGAGACTAGTTCTTGTCAACTGCTGTACTTCCCAGACTGACATGAAGCAGTGGACAGTGACAGCTGTACTTCCCAGACTGACATGAAGCAGTGGACAGTGACAGCTGTACTTCCCAGACTGACATAAAGCAGTGGACAGTGACAGCTGTACTTCCCAGACTGACATGAAGCAGTGGACAGTGACAGCTGTACTTCCCAGACTGACATGAAGCAGTGGACAGTGACATCTGTACTTTCCAGACTGACATGAAGCAGTGGACAGTGACAGCTGTACTTCCAATACTGACATAAACCAGTGGACAGTGACAGCTGTACTTCCCAGACTGACATGAAGCAGTGGACAGTGACAGCTGTACTTCCAATACTGACATGAAGCAGTGGACAGTGAAAGCTGAACTTCCCAGACTGACATGAAGCAGTAGACAGTGACAGCTGTACTTCCTAGACTGACATGAAGCAATGGACAGTGACAGCTGTACCTCCAATACTGACATGAAGCAGTGGACAGTGACAGCTGTACTTCCCAGACTGACATGAAGCAGTGGACAGTGACAGCTGTACTTCCCAGACTGACATGAAGCAGTGGACAGTGACAGCTGTACTTCCAATACTGACATGAAGTAGTGGACAGTGAAAGCTGTACTTCCCAGACTGACATGAAGCAGTAGACAGTGACAGCTGTACTTCCTAGACTGACATGAAGCAATGGACAGTGACAGCTGTACTTCCAATACTGACATGAAGCAGTGGACAGTGACAGCTGTACTTCCCAGACTGACATGAAGCAGTGGACAGTGACAGCTGCAGCTATTTGATGTTCTGAGAAGCACAATCTTCTGAGCAGAAACAGTTACACTATAAGGTGTGTCAGTAGATTTTATGGCCTTGTGGACAGGACGAATGCAACATATCTAGCTGACAGACAGTTCAAGCAGTCGTGTATTTAGATCTAAATTTAATGTAGCCGTTGCATAGCTCTAAAAGGGTACCGCATAATATTTGGTCATAATATTGTACCTGTTCATGCTCCCTGTATCTTAAAAAGAATGTCAAAGAAAATATTTTCATGCTCACTGTGGCTCTAAAAGATCACTATAATAATATCTAAATGAATCTGAGATGTAGAGCTATTAAGGAGATGATGCAAATAATAACACCACTGTTGGACAAGCAATTCTTCTCAATAATAAAATATACTTGTAGCCAATGAACCTGATGTCCTTGATGTGTCCCAGTTCTCAGTGAGCCACAGTGAAACAACAGACAGCATCCAGCCTCACAACATTTCAACCTCATGTTTTCAATATGATAAACATATTTCCTTAAAATATAAAAAATCACAACTAGTTATTGTTTTAATATGATTAAATATATACAGTAGCAAACTATAAATAAAAATCACATCTTGATCCAATCACAGACATGGCCTCTGACCCCAGTATGAACCAAGGTCAAGGAGCTCAGGTTTCACACAAGGGAAGGAGGTAATTGTATTTAGAAATGACAGTTTGTGACCTTTACAAAAACAGCAACTCCAGCTGTTGGCTTATGAGAACACTTGACTTATCTCACTCCGTGTGGTTTGATTAAGCTCTCTGTCACTCTGCTACACAAGAGAATCAGAATGAGATTCTACTGACTAACAATGACATTAAATTCTGTTCACAACCTGACAAACACATTACTACAAATGAAAAATCACATCAGATTCTATTTACAATGATACAGTTATTTTACCTGTAAGTACTACACAAACATACTTTGCCACATTGCTAAATATTATGTCTAAAATAAGCAAATGAACACAGCTGAACCTGCACAGTTAAAAACACTGAGCAATATTATGTTGAACCATAAAAGGCATCTAACTGCTATATAAGAAAATAAAGAATGCTAAAGCATTCTAGAAAATACATAATTTCATTATACAGTTAAGATCTTCAGCAAAATAAATAAGTTACATGCTTCCTCACGTGTGTAAATCAATAACTGACTTGCTTATACCAGGCATTTTTAAAGTGTTTGTTGTATAGACACTTCCACAGCAAACAACAAATGTCATTAAAGAGATCAGGAGGGTACAATCATGGTCAAGGAGATTCTTACCCTTACATCACATACCATGAGACTGATCCTTTCACACACAAAAATAAAACAACTGCGAGCACACACATATATATATGCACACACACAAACATGCAAACACTGATCTCCTTCTTTAAAAAGGGAATTCACACTGGCAAGACAATGCAAAATAATATCTAGTACTGGCTAAGATAGTGCAATGAGAGAAGAGATCTGGCTGGTAGAGTGGTGCAATGAGAGAATAGATCTGGCCAGCAGAGTGGTGCAATGAGAGAAGAGATCTGGTTGGCAGAGTGGCGCAATGAGAGAAGAGATCTGGCCAGCAGAGTGGTGCAATGAGAGAAGAGATCTGGTTGGCAGAGTGGCGCAATGAGAGAATAGATCTGGCCAGCAGAGTGGTGCAATGAGAGAAGAGATCTGGACGGCAGAGTGGTGCAATGAGAGAAGAGATCTGGCTGGCAGAGTGGTGCAATGAGAGAAGAGATCTGGACGGCAGAGTGGTGCAATGAGAGAAGAGATCTGGACGGCAGAGTGGTGCAATGAGAGAAGAGATCTGGACGGCAGAGTGGTGCAATGAATGAAGAGATCTGGCCGGCAGAGTGGTGCAATGAGAGAAGAGATCTGGACGGCAGAGTGGTGCAATGAATGAAGAGATCTGGACGGCAGAGTGGTGCAATGAGAGAAGAGATCTGGTTGGCAGAGTGGTGCAATGAGAGAAGAGATCTGGCTGGCAGAGTGGTGCAATGAGAGAAGAGATCTGGCTGGCAGAGTGGTGCAATGAATGAAGAGATCTGGCTGGCAGAGTGGTGCAATGAGAGAAGAGATCTGGACGGCAGAGTGGTGCAATGAATGAAGAGATCTGGCCGGCAGAGTGGTGCAATGAGAGAAGAGATCTGGACGGCAGAGTGGTGCAATGAATGAAGAGATCTGGCTGGCAGAGTGGTGCAATGAGAGAAGAGATCTGGTTGGCAGAGTGGTGCAATGAGAGAAGAGATCTGGTTGGCAGAGTGGCGCAATGAGAGAATAGATCTGGCCAGCAGAGTGGTGCAATGAGAGAAGAGATCTGGCCGGCAGAGTGGTGCAATGAGAGAAGAGATCTGGACGGCAGAGTGGTGCAATGAGAGAAGAGATCTGGCCGGCAGAGTGGTACAATGGGAGAAGAGATCTGGCCGGCAGAGTGTTGCAATGAGAGAAGAGGTCTGGCCGGCAGAGTGGTGCAATGAGCAATATAGTCTAACCAGAGAGTGGTGCTGTGAAAAATACATCAGGCTGGCAAAAGGTGGTGCAATGAGAAAAAGGTTTGATAAGGATGGAGCCTGTTTGAGAGTGTCGTAATGTGGACAAACTAATGCATAATGCAATGAGAAGGCAGTCTTGCTGGAGAGTGTTGCATGAGAAACATTGGCTGGAGCAGTGTAATAAAAATTTAAAAAAAACACACACACACACAAAAGCCTGCTAGTGCTGCAACAAAAACAATAGGGGAGATAGCTGGCTAGAGGTAGAGCTTCAGAAAATAGATAACAGTGAGGATTGAGGATATTTCCTCATAAAAGGGGTGTGTGGCAAACAACCTTCTTATGTGTTTTTGATGGATAAACTAGGATACATAAACAGTGTAATAGAACAATATTTAAAAATGGGAGGATTGATGTACACAAGTTGCTTGTCCAGGCTGTCACTGTACAGTATAGATGACAGGTTCCTTCTTCATTCATGTTACCGTCAAAGAAAAAATCTTTGCCATAGAAAGTTTAAAAAAAAAACACAGCTCTGTCTGCTTAAAGGCTGTTGTTTGACTGACATCTGCCTCGACTCCCCACATGACACCAGGCACCTAACGACAACATGTGAATGAAGAATCAAGATGAGCAGCTGTTTCTTCAAGTCAACTGACGGAAGAAACCACTGACTGGAATGTTGCCATCGACTAATGGCTTTTGCAACTGACTGGAATGATACAAGCTTAGAAAAACTAAATATGCAGTCTTTCAAGAACAAAACAACCAGATCAGAAATAACAGAAAAAAACGACGACCTCAAAATTATCTAGAAATTATATAAAACAATTCCAGAAAATGCTGACGTCTTCAAATTGTGAAGACTGACCACATGTGTAATCACTTGTAAATTATTATTTAATGATCACATAAGTACAGAATATGCTGTACATACAGACATGTGTCACATAAGAACAGACTATGCTGTACATACAGACATGTGTCACATAAGTACAGACTATGCTGTACATACAGCTTAGTATAGTAATAACTACTGTTCATACCAAAACCACTATTTATTCAACATACAACTACTGTTCATACAATAACAAATATTACTCATACAATAAAAAATGCTGTGCAAACAATAACAGCTCTGTAAACTGCCTAGAATTCTTCTCTAACACCATCTCAAACCTGGGGCTGCCAGCATATGACTCTGATCTTGAGCAAAAGTTGCAACTCAGCTGGGACAGTGACAACACATTGCCATTTCCACAGCAGCTGGTGTCTTTGCTAGTCTGTCCATTTCCACAGCAGCTGGTGTCTTTGCTGGTCTGTCCATTTCCACAGTAGCCGGTGTCTTTGCTGGTCTGTCCATTTCCACAGTAGCCGGTGTCTTTGCTAGTCTGTCCATTTCCAAAGTAGCCGTTGTCTTTGCTGGTCTGTCCATTTCCACAGTAGCCGGTGTCTTTGCTAGTATGTTCTAATATTAGTTACAGTGACTTTGCAGCTTCACTACCACAGAATCAGAAAGAAGGATAATCACTCATTCTCTCTGTAAGCATCCTTGCAGCTTGTCCACCCAGTCAGCAGCTGATTTGGAATCTGCAGCCATGAAATTGTAAACTTTTCGAACAGCACGGATCTGTGAATACATATGTATGTACATGGTAAGATTGGACTGCAAAATGCAACAGTGGCACCAGTCTCCAGCCATTGACTGGATGCTGTTTGTCTCTAGAAACCTCACAGTATGTCATGATCCTTTGGAATTCACATTAAATGATTCTCTACAATCTCTCTACTGTATGTCATGATCCTTTGGAATTCTCATTACACGATTCTCTACAATCTCTCTACTGTATGTCATGATCCTTTGGAATTCACATTAAATGATTCTCTACAATCTCTCTACTGTATGTCATGATCCTTTGGAATTCTCATTACACGATTCTCTACAATCTCTCTACTGTATGTCATGATCCTTTGGAATTCACATTAAATGATTCTCTACAATCTCTCTACTGTATGTCATGATCCTTTGGAATTCTCATTACACGATTCTCTACAATCTCTCTACTGTATGTCATGATTCTTTGGAATTCACATTAAATGATTCTCTACAATCTCTCTACTGTATGTCATGATCCTTTGGAATCCTCATTACACGATCCTCTACAATCTCTCTACTGTATGTCATGATCCTTTGGAATTCTCATTACACGTGATTTTGTACAACTCCCCTAATGTATGTCATGATCCTTTGGAATTCTCATTACATGTGATTTTGTACAACTCCCCTAATGTATGTCATGATCCTGTGGGACCCACTTTACAACCCATTCTTCAACCTCCTTACAAAATGTCAGAACTATGTGAAATCTTCTTCACATGTCATTCTGTACAGGCTCCCTAAACAATTGTTCCCTAAACAATTGCTCCCTAAACAATTGCTCCCTAAACAATTCTCCCTAAACAATTGCTCCCTAAACAATTGCTCCCTAAACAATTGTTCCCTAAACAATTGCTCCCTAAACAATGTAATGATTCTGTTAAATCCTCATTTCAAGTGATCCTCGTTACAAATGATTTTGTTCAATCTCCCTATTTTATGTAATAATTCTTTGAAATCCTTATGTGATTCTGTAAAATCTCCCTACTTTACGTAATAATTCTCTGAAATTAATTTTACATGTGATTCAGTTCAATCTTCCCATACAATCTCCCCACTGTATGTTATAAATCTCTGAAATCCTTGTTACATATGACTCTGTACAATCTTCCTACTTTTACCGGCTGTAAACTCTGGTGGTAAATTCTGGTTTTTCATTCATTTCTGGACTTTGGCTTCACTCCAGAATTTGAGTTTTGTGTGTGCATCTGTTTTACAAACCTGGCTTATCTGTATGCAGACTGCTGGTTCCTGGCTTCTCAGGCAAATGCGCTTTGACTTCAAAGGTAAAACCCTAATAAGTCACCTTCTACCACCTGCTTGTTAGTGGGTCAGTGGGTCTATTCTTTCTGCCCCCCCCCCTCCCCCAAAGGGGCCCAGGACCCACTTAGGGATGTTGTCCATTTGATTGTATATAACAATAAATGCAATCTTCTTTGACAAACCTCAATAAATGAATTATCTACGGCCTTCTTGGGAGCTCCTGGGACGGATGGGAGAAGACTGACTGACTCCACCTCAGACAAGTCTATAAAACCTTTGCAGTTGTGGTCATCATGAGTATCATAGTAGCGCAGCTGAAATAAAAAAGACAATATGTACATACAGCGGGCAGATTCAAATATAACAATAGCACATCAGACCATGAAAATCTGCCTGCAAGTTACTGAGGCCAAGAAAGGAATAACTGGATAGGCATGTTTATAGGGTTTTTTAGTCTGGGAAATTTTTTGCATCTGATAATAGTTAGCCATTGCAATTTCCTCCATATGTACACTGAAAGGATACAGTTCCGTCACCCAGCTACATAGCTGAGTGCGTGGTGTGATACTGTGAGCTGCAGATTTCATTTGGAATGCTTTCTGATTGTGCCTCACAAGGTTTATGTTGTAAAGTGCAGATTCTGAAAATGACCCATGGCCAGTTGCCAGAGATTTGGTGGTACCTTATACCTTTACCTGTGTTTGAAAATACGGGTCTGTGGTAATTGCTGCTTCAGTTGACGATGACCTATATTTTCTAATTTTGGACTGTTTGTGTTGGCACTTCAGATGACTGCCGTATACATTTAAAGTGTGTGTATGCTACTGGCTTTGCTAAGACTGCAGTCTGTGTCCATGTTTGTTTTCACAAGGGACGGTTATAGACATTCAAAGTGGTTTTCATTAGCACAGGACCGGAGCAACCATGAGGTGACCTGTTTACTATGAGGTTGGAACTGTGATTTCCTGTTTATCTGACAAAGGAAACAGTATCTCTTGTCATCTGCCATGCACACTTTCACAAATGACTAAGGAGAACTGGTGTGAGACAACTACCTCAGTCAAAGGAATAATGTTGCTGCGCAATGCAACCAATCTGAAGAAAGTTTACTACATGCTTGGGCTGAGTTGTTTAGGAGCCTATGCTTCCATTTTTAATTTATGGTCCAGGCTACAAACTCATTAGTGTTCACCAACTGCTACAAATTCACTAGTTTTGTTCTAAGCTAAATATTTGTAAGTGCTCACCCAATACTATAAACTCATATCCAGTGCTATAAATTCACATGTGCTCATCCAATACTATAAATCTTTTCTTTAAATGCTATAAACTCACATCCAATGCTATAAATGCACCCATGCTCATCCAATGCTATAAACACACTAGTTTTCTTTCAATGCTATAAACTCACATCTGATGCTATAAATTTATCTGCACTCATTTAATACTATAAACTCACTAGTTTTCTTTCAATGCTATAAACTCAGATCCAATGCTGAAAATTCACTAGCGCTCATTCAATACTATAAACTCACTAGTATACATCCACTGCTATAAATGCACATCCAATGCAATACAATCCCAAATATAAAGCACCAGGAGCTGATAGATTACCAACAGAAATAATTCAAGCAGCAGGTGAAAGCAGCATCAGATGGCTTCACAGAATATTCAATGCAGCATGGGTACAACAAACGGCCCCTATTGATTGGCAACATGCAATAGTTATACCATTGTGGAAGAACAAAGGAAGCAAACGAGAATGCGGTCAATATCGAGGCATCTCTATTTTAAGCCATGTTGGCAAAATGTATGCCGAGATAATAGAAACAAGACTGAGACCAGTGATAGAACTACAGCTGGCAGAAGAACAGGTGGGATTTAGGAGAAATAGAAGCTGCACAGATGCAATCTTCACACTAAAACAGTTAATAGAAAAGAACATTGAATACAATAAGAACTTATTTGTGGCATTCGTAGACCAGGAGAAGGCATTTGACAGAGTCGACAGACAATTATTATGGAAAGTAATGGCAAGATATGGAGTAAGCGAACACCTCATCGAAGTGTGCAAAAGTTTATACAGGGATTGTAGAAGTGTAGTTAGAATAAATCAGGGAACATCTCATCCTTTCACAGTGACATCTGGAGTAAGACAGGGGTGTGTCTTATCACCACTGCTGTTTATCACCTACATCGACAGTATATGCAAGAATGCCAAGCCCATGAATAAAGATCTTATTAAGATCAACGAATTACTCTTTTCAGATGACCAGGCCTTGATAGCAGACACAGCCATGAAATTGCAACAACATCTAACATCCATGAATGAAGAATGTAAAACAAATAATATGAGAATCAACACTGAAAAGACAGAAGTAATGTCAATAGGAAAAAAGAAGACAGATCTAAACATAGCAATAGAATTCAAAGGCATTAAACAGGCATCTGAGTTTAAATATCTGGGAACTACATTTACAGAAGATGGGAAATTGGATAAAGAAATTAACATTAGATGCAGTAAAGCAAACCAAGTATTGGGACAGCTAGCCCCCCTCTTACAGCATAAGACAATCCCAATCAGCACAAAGAGACATCTTATTCAAAGCATATTTATTCCAACTCTGTGCTACCAGTGCCAGACATGGTCACTCACAACAAACCATAAAAGAAAATTAGTAACCACGAAAATGAGATGTCTGAGAAAGGCTGTAGGAGTGACCATAAGAGATAAGATCAGGAATGAGATCATAAGAGAACAAGTTGGCACAGAACCAATTCTGGATTACATACAAAGACAGCAAGTGAAATGGTTTGCCCACTTAGAGAGAATGACTTGTGACACCTTACCATACAAAGCATACATGGAAAGAGAAGAAGGACTTAGAGCACGGGGTACACCAAGAACAAGATGGAAGGATAACATCAGAGAAACTCTACAACAGCACGATGTGCCTATGGTCGAAGCAACCAGAAGAGCTAGAAACAGAACCTTATATCTCCCTCGACACCCACAGCGGTAAAAGAGGAAGTGAAGAAGAAGAAATGCAATACAATCATCAGTGTTTACCAAGTGCGATAGTTTCAACAGTGTTCATCATCATCAGGTGTCTTGCTGGCTTACATCTTTCTGATGTTTGTGATCAGTTGTCTTTTACCTCTTACCGTTTAAAAACATCTAGGTTGCTCTTTTTGGATGTCCATGGAATTCTAATGATTCTTCTTTAAAATCACATCAGCAGCAGTGACTGCCTCCACCTCCATTTTCAAACTAGACGTTGTGATATCATATGCCAGACTTTGTTACACTAAGCGACGTCCATTCGCTTTTGCAATGAGCCCCCATGCACTTCGTCTGCCCCTCAACAGCTATCGGTACAGATAATCACATCACTTGGGCGGGAATTGTCATGAATCATTTGTTGAACTTCTCATTCTGCAGCACCACCTGGCCAGTAAACTAATGCACAAGACAAACAATTTAACTGCACTAATTACCTGATGCCCGTGGCTAAGGCGTTGCGAGTCCGACTCGTAAGCCAGCATACTGCGATCGAAACCCACTGCAGGCTGCGTGGATTTTTGTCGTGGTATGGGGACGTCGCAGATCGACCCAGCCTAAAATGGGTACCAGGATGGGTGGGAAAGTAAAGACAGCCGGCGTAATGCTGACCACATTACCCACAGAGTGCTGATGGTCTGTAAAAATATGGGACGTTTTGCCCATATGCCCGATGCGCCGAAAGGCGTGAAAAGGGAACTTTACTTTTTTTTTTAAATTACCTGATGCTTCAAGGTATCCAAAAGAAACCAGCGTTGTTTCCACTGCCGAAAGAGCTGTCCTTGCTTGTAAAGATAACCACTACAGGTTCTGTGCTCAGAGACTTTTGCTGAAACATGGTTAAAATGGCAGGTACAAAAACACTGCTTTAATGTACTCAGGGTGCCACCATGGTATAGTGGTTAGACACTTGAGCGCAGATTGAAAGGTCGTGGGTTCAGGTTCGGATGGTACCAGACATTTTGTTTCAATGACCTTGGCTCCCAGGTCGACCCAGCCTTGAATGGGTATCAGTATGGCACCAGACATTTTTGCTCAATGACCTTGGCTCCCAGGTCGACCCAGCCTTGAATGGGTATCAGTATGGTACCAGACATTTTTGTTCAATGACCTTGGCTCCCAGGTCGACCCAGCCTTGAATGGGTATCAGGCAGAGTCCTAGGAAGTAAAGGCAACTAGTCTGAGGCTAAACACATCACCTACCAAGTGTTGATTGGTCTCTAAAATATAGGTCTAGTTCTATATGCTCAATAAGCCTAAAGGCGTGGAAAAGGGTCCTTTCACTTTTAACTTTCTTGGTTGATGCGCTTTAAATGGAAATGTCTTCAGGGAAATTAGAACATTAAGGTACAGTTAATTCCTTATAAAAAGGAAAAAACAACAACAACAAAAAGAAGAGAAACCTAGATAATCTAAGCAATTTGTAGCAGTCAAAATAAATTACAGTAAAACTTTGATTAACCATCACCTTCAGGACCAGCGCTGTGATGAATAACTGAAATCTCTCAATACATTTGCACAAGTAACACATGATTTCACTGCGGGCTCGGGGATGACAGTAATAAAAAAACTTTAAAAGTGAATACAGGTTGTTGCGTATCCTTTACAGGACGTTGCAGAACCAACCCTAACAGCCCCTGGCTGTTGTGTGGTTTCTCTAGACAAATTTACGTCCAGTAGTTTGCCATTGCTTTCTGGACGGTCGGCTTTCTTGATACCACTGTCGAAACCAACACAAGGCGCATTGCCCGCAGCTGGGATCGATCCATGCATCCCGGCATTACGAAGCGAAGCGTTCGCATCGACTTAGCCACAGAGCCGACTTTAAAAGTGAATAATACACAAATATTGTGTTTAATTTAACAAAACGACCAATGTAATCGTCAATATAAGAGTAGTAAGGTATATAAATGTGTATTATAATACTATAAACCTATGTTAATGTATAAAAACCTGTCATCTCCTTCTGTGTATTAGAGGCTCAAGCCTTCTGCGAGGCAATGCTCCCTATTTTACACAGAAGTAGGATCTGTGTTAAATTTGCCTTCTGTTGCATTTCAAACCATTTGATGCACTTTGATAACATTGTTTCTGCTTCTGAGTGGCCAGCTGTAGTTCTTTGGTTAAGAATAGATCTGTAGTTCTTTGGTTAAGAAGATAGATCAGAATCTCACAAATAGATGATTATGTTTCAAAGTTGTCGTGAGGCATACTTGAGTGAGTATTTAACAAACTGAGGACTTACCTGTGTGGTAGTCAGCTGTAGAGTCAGGACTGTCCTCACCCTGCAGGTGGGCAGCACTCAAGCTAGCATCTCCAAAAGCCTTCAACTTCTGACAAGTTTTGGGCACACTAGACTGACACCTATCATGACAGTTGAAGCCACAGTCCACACACTTGAAACCTGAAATGCATCATTCCCATGTCAAATAATCATTTGTTTTATCAAAGAGACTCTGTGATATTTGTTTGTTTGTTGAAACTACTTTTTGAAAGTGTAAAAACTATCTACTTAAAAAAAAAAAAAAACTACTGAAAATAAAGGATTTAAAAAAAAAAAAAAAAAAAGGACAAATGTACTAAACACATTGATTGAATTCATCTGAAGATGTCGTTTCTGACGTAACTCAAGAAATTAGGAAAACATCTGTCTAATTAATGACCAACTGACAAAATTAAAAACATGTTCTATAACAGTACAAGTGAGAGAGACCTAAACAAATTGAAAGATCTAGTTCAAGCTACAAAAGGATATTTTAGTAACAGCTTATAATAGATTACATGTCTTTTGAGAATCCCCCACAACAGACATACTAACAAATTATGACAGATTACCAATCTCTAAGAGTTCCCACAAAATGATACTAATAGCATGAATAGATTACCCGTATTTTGAGAACCCTACACCCAACAATATCATCAGACTATGAGAGATCACCTGTCTCTGTAAGTAACTACAAAATGATACCAACAATCTATGAGAGATTACCTGTCTCTGTAAGTAACTGCAAAATGATACCAACAACCTATGAGGGATTACTACAAAATGATACCAACAACCTATGAGAGATCACCTGTCTCTGTAAGTAACTGCAAAATGAAACCAACAACCTATGAGAGATCACCTGTCTCTGTAAGTAACTACAAAATGATACCAACAACCTTTGAGAGATCCCCTGTCTCTGTAAGTAACTACAAAATGATACCAACAGTCCATGAGAGATAACCTGTCTCTGTGAGTAACCACAAAATGATACCAACAGCCCATGAGAGATAACCTGTCTCTGTGAGTAACCACAAAATGATACCAACAGTCCATGAGAGATAACCTGTCTCTGTGAGTAACTACAAAATGATACCAACAACCTATGAGAGATCACCTGTCTGTAAGTAACTACAAAATGATACCAACAGTCCATGAGAGATTACCTGTCTTGGAAAGCCCCCACAGAACCTTTGAGCAGTGGTCACAGTAGGTAGAAGAAGTGTACATGTGCCGCTCAAATCTGTGTGGCTGGGAGAACATGTGGGCGATGTCTCCCAGCATTTTCCCTTGCATCAGAATTTCCAGAGTCGACCGTCTCTGTAGTGTGTGACTGTGAAGCCAGACTGCCTTCTTTTCCTGGCAAACCTAGAAAACACAATGACCTTGCTAATGTAAGATTATCATTTTTTACAACCCCCCCCCCCCCCATCAAATTGTCTAAAAAACTATAACATTCTCACTAAGGAATTCCAGTGAAATGTGACTTAAAAGCTTAACGAAATAGGGAAGCAGAAAAAGTGCACAAAACAACACAGGCCACCAGTCGAAACATTGTTTTGTGCACGTTTTTTCTGCTTTCCCGTTTCATTAAGCTTTTGATACTGGAATTCCTTAGTATTAGCTAGACTGCAGTCACCACCATATTTTCTGCACTCTCACTGTTAGAGCTGTTACTTTTTCAGTTTTAATTGCCACAATCTTGAGACCATTCTCTTTCAAATACACTGATAACTAAAGGTGATGGTTTAAATAATTACTGCCAAAACTGTAAGCAATTCTGATAGTAACGCTGATCAACCTCTTTCCATCAACTTCAACTACCACAGCCAATTGATTTCTGTGTCATTTTTAGCACTATGTTATGTTATCACAATCAATGTCACTGCACATTGGACATTCTCATGCGTGCACATTCCCCCGATGCAGCAGCCACTCCAATGTACTTCTTTCTACTAATTGTTCCCATGAGAAGTTGGTTAAAATATCTCCTATCTCGAAAGCTGTGGGTTCCTCTGTGAGAAAACAAGTCTTGGGTGAGGACGCCTGTGGCGGTCATGTTAACTACTGAAACAAGAAAGTGATTCTTATTACGAGGAGTGACCCTCGTAGATGTCAGTTATCGGCTGTGTGCTGATGGGACACAGTTTTTGAGTCCTGCGAGTCATCGTAGAATTCCTCGACATGACTGATTTGATGTGTGCATATCAGGGAACTTTGCAGGTTCCTAGTGTTCCTCTGTGAGAAAACAAGTCTTGGGTGAGGACGCCTGTGGCGGTCATGTTAACTACTGAAACAAGAAAGTGATTCTTATTACGAGGAGTGACCCTCGTAGATGTCAGTTATCGGCTGTGAGCTGATGGGACACAGTTTTTTAGTCCTGCGGGTCATCGTAGAATTCCTCGACATGGCTGATTTGATGTGTGCATATCGGGGAACTCGAGTGTTACAGAGGTTCCCAGTCAGCCGATGTAAAAGTGCCTGTTAGTGAGATAGCAGCGGAGGTCAAGCCAAGTAAGTCAGATGGAGCTTGTTCATTTTTACTTCTAACCCTGACATGAGGGTTGGCCAGCGGCCGAGGCACGGAAGCAGTGAGCTAGAGAGTTCGATTGACAGCGAATGTATGCTGTACTTTGGAGCGCTGCAGGACTGTTTTGGAGGATGCGGAGCTTGAGGGATTAATTCCGTTTTGCCAGCGTATAGACATGTGTGATGTTGCTCCACTTTCATTCATTGTGTGCGCGTTGGTAGACTCAAATGTTCATGTGAAATACATGTATGATGGACAACCGTTGTTGAGTTCTCCTGACTGTGCGAGTGTAGCAAAGTACGAGCGTAAATCATAACCTAGACACTTGACTATATGTTTGTATGCTGCCACCTTTATTCAGCGTACATCCCCAAATATTATCTGATGCCATTCTTCTCCTCTGTCTATCAGCACCTATGGCCAAATCTAATCAGATGCCATCAAGAAACATACAAAACAGCTGTGAGAGAGAGAGAGAGAGAGAGAGAGAGAGAGAGAGAGAGAGAGAGAGAGAGAGAGAGAGAGAGAGAGAGAGAGAGAGAGAGAGAGAGAGAGAGGAGAGAGAGAGAACTACCTAGGTGAGAGATACAGCTTTGGAAATTCACTGCAGCCTACCTTCAATGTGGGGATGTCACCTGTCTGACAAAGGGGCAGAGATCAAGGCCCTCATAAAAGACACACAATGATACACATAGCTGGATGGTCATTTAGTATCACAAGTGTGCACAGGTCTGGCCTTTAAGCTCATCACAGACACTTGGTGGTGACTGGATGCATGAGAATAAAGATGCTATCAAGACACTTTGAGAGGACATAAAGACTGCAGAAGAATACACAGACTGTTATGGTGTGGAAAGAATGATACTGTGAGGAGTAACCACAGGCTGTAGCTGACACTCAGCACTCGGAGGAAAGGCAGGGTGGTCATACAGTCAGCCAGCTGCTGGCATCATTAGTACTGGAATTCTGCAGTGGCTGCTGAAGGGATGGGATGCTTATGTAAATATCCCCAGTGCTGTGATGCCGACTCTTGACTGTGAAAATGCAGCACAGAGAGTTTAGGACACTCACTACAGCCAAATTTCAATATGAAGATGACGGTGTAAGGTTACAGTGAGAGAGAGAGAGAGGGTGAGAGACAGAATGATCTTTATTTTCAAAGCATCACAAACTGAGAGACACAAAATGGAGTTGATGTCGGTAACACAAGCTTCCATGAGGCTAGCATCACATGGGATATTCTCATGTGTGTGTGCTGAGTGTTTCCAAAGGCATGATCCGGCAGGTCGAGGTAGGCTTCATACGCAGACAGTAGATCAAGTCATTGCAAAACTTCATTGTGTGTGGAGTTACCTTCATCTTTGTATCAATGCATTTAGGGTTTGTTGGCAATGAAAGAGCTGACAGATTAGCTGGCTCTGCCTTAGTTACAGCCCATGGATCATACAGACATTGTTAATGCCATTAGAGAGGTAGGACGTTCAGAGGATTTTGGGAGCAGCAGTTCCACATCTTTGCTACAAGTGCAAGAATTGGGAGCAAAGATCTGCACAGCCAGGCACAAGAAGCACACTAGATACACGAGAAGTCAACCATGGACGCTGATGTATATGTTGAAGGTGGAATCTGAGCACCTATAGAATACCGTGAAGATAATCTGAATCATAACTAAGATACAGAGGAAAAAGAATGGTTGGGGGAAGAGAGGGGGCGGGGAAGGGGAGGAAGAGAGGGAGGGAGGAAGAGAGAGAGAGAGAGAGAGAGAGACAGAGAGAGAGAGAGAGAGAGAGAGAGAGAGAAATACCCCCAAGAGCTAGCTACGTCAGGCTAAAATGACCTAGAGATAGTATATATCAAAGAATCGGCCAGTGAATAAAGCAAAGAATATTTTCTTATACCCGTCGACTCAACTGATCCCTGGCTGGACATTCCAGTCTGTCAAAAACTGTCCTCCATGGAGATGACTTCTTGCCAAGTTCAGCTTCCAACTGTTGGATCTCCTAAAGACACAAAAAATGTACATGAGTTTGCTGTTAAAGCTGTATGATATAAGATAAACCTAAACAGCATAGGGAAAGGTAAAATCGGGAGATGTGAACCAGAATCATTGCACACAGTTATAAACCATAAGTGCCCTGCCACCAGTATGGACAGCTGATAAGAAACTGTCCGCCTGTGTCGTCAGTCCGCACGCAACTCCGTAGCTACAGCGAAGTTCCTCCATTTACCCCAAAGTGTAAACTCTGGTTCCCATTTGCTAGAGGCTGGGTGAACCCTGGGAACCGCCCAGTTTCGAACACCGGCTGTGGGTTGCAGCAAGTCGCAGCTGGATTTGAAAGTGAGTCTCCTATCGACTGCACTAACACGGCCCCCGAGCATGGGGGGAAACCTAAACCGCATAGGGAAAACCTACATGGGGGAAAAAACTACTCAAAACAGAGCAAACAAGTAAATCCATCATTCTTCAACCTATTTATTCATAGAGGTATCCATCTATTAATGGGTCCAACTACATACAGACATATTTTTACATACCATTTATTATCAATGAACCTACTCATTTATGATCAATACCTATTTAGCCACAAATCTAACTTTCAAGTCAGAAACTTATCCATATCTCAAAAACTTCTCTATAATACACTATTTGCATGTGTACCTATTCGCACGTCGGCTCTGTGGTCAAGTCGATGCGAACGCTTCGTAATGCCAGGGTGCCGGGTTCGATCCCAGCTGCGGGCCATGCGCCTTGCATTGGTTTTGACAGTGGTATCAGGGGGCTGACCGTCCAGAAAACAATGGCAAACTACTGGATGTAAATTTGCCTAGAGAAACCAAACAACAGCCAGGGGCTGCTGGGGTTGGTTCTGCAAGGTCCTGTAAAGGATATGCAACTAATCTAACATCTTTGCACATCTACCTGTCTACTGACAATCACATCTCTATCTCAACAGGTACATCTGTTAAGTCAAATACAGTTATATCTTAGTAATACCTGTTCACAAAAGGGAAAAATGAAGTAGCATAGTGCATAAGGGGGCATTTGTCTATATCAACTGAAATTTGAACTCAATAGCGCCCTTTACTTCTCAAAACATTGATCTGGTACCTATTGTGGGCTCAACTGACCTGACAGACCCAGGGAGGGACAAAATGCCTGCCTCAAGATGGGTTCAAACATATGACCTCTGAACCAGAAAGCAAAAGAGCTAGTCACTGTGCTACCTTGGTAGTCCTCACTATTTATACTTTACTATGGGTTTTCTTAAAATGTGCCATCTCTACAATACAGGTGGGCTACAGTATGTGCATCCACTGCTACATGGTGAGGACCCAGGATCTGTTATACCACCATCTGCAAACCACGAGAACAACTTCTCCTCTAAACTGCCCATCATGGAAATCAAACCCAGGTATACCCCAGTGTGGGTTCTGGGGCTCAATTAGGCAGGGGAAAAAAAGAAAAGACCCGTCTGCCCTTAATAAGGTGAAATAATTAGGAAAGTTTCCTTCCAGGTCAGAGAGCATCTGCCAAAGAGGTGAGGGGCCAAAGGCTGCATTTAAATAAGCCAGATCTTCAATCAGATGTGCACGCAAAATTCATGAAAAAAAAAGTTCATGGAATAGGACCAAATTCACCATTAAACAACCAATGAATGAAAAAGCTGAATTTTCTGCTGGAGTTTACAGCCAGTGAATGCTAAGAAGAAGAAGAAGAAGAAGAAGAAGAAGAAACTCGGGTATATCAAGGATTGTGAAATGTGCTCACTAACCAGCTAAAGCCAGGAACCAGGAACCTTAAAACTGACATCGAACTTAGGCAACAAAGGAACAATCTTAGGTGTAATTGCACCCTTGTTCCACAAAGGAACAGAACTAAATAAGATAGCAAAAAAACCATCCTTGATAAAACAGGCCTTCAGGCGGCTTAAAAAAGGACTAAGCTTGGAATTTTTTTTTTGATTTTTACGATACGATGCTCACTAACCTCCATGCGAAAAGAACCCCCCCACACACACACATGCGCACGCGCATGCACACACATACAAACACCACTAGTATTCTTTGTTAACTTCTAACACTAAGCACGTCAACACAGACAAAAAAGATATAAGATATAGTGAAATGATGTACTAACAATTTCATCAAATGACAAATAGAAAATGTGTCCTTGAATTTACTGGTAATAATTATTTACATAAATAAAACATCACAGGCAATCACGATCAAAAATGGATCTAATAAAATTAATCTGACCTGAATTTGATGCCAGAAAAAATCTGGCTGCTGGATGGAGACTGTGTGATAACAGGCATTCAGTGTTTGTCTCTTGACAACCCCGGTCCTGCCACTGTCCAGATCCTCTCCCAAAACATCTTCCATCAAATCAAGATCATACAGAGCTCCATGTCTCAAATCTTCCGTTGTGAAGAAGCTCCAAATTTTCAGCTTTGAAATATTTGCAAATGGCCTTAAAATCTAGAACATAAAAAAGAAACATAAAGAGTTAATGGCTGTCACATACAAGTGATCAATGACTATAAAAAAGAAACATAAAGAGTTAATGGCTGTGGCATACAACTAATCAATGAGTATAAAAAAAGAAACATGAAGAGTTAATGGCTGTGACACACAACTGATCCATGACTATAACAGGTAAAGCAAGGGACCCTTTCCATACCATTAGAACATTGGGCTGGACATGTTACGTACATATTTGTATAGACCAATCACACTTGATGAATCATGTAGTCAACATCATCGGCACTTGATAAATAATGTCGTCATCATCTGCACTTGATAGTTAAAGTAGTCAACATTACTGACACTTGACAGATAATGTAGTCAACATTACTGACACTTGACGGATAATGTAGTCAACATCTTCGGCACTTGATGGACAATGTAGTCAACATCATCGGCACTTGGTGGACAATGTAGTCAACATCATCTGCACTTGATGGACTAATGGACAATGTAGTCAACATCATCCGCACTTGGTGGACAATGTAGTCAACATCATGTGCACTTGATGGACAAATGCACAATGTAGTCAACATCATCGGCACTTGGTGGACAATGTAGTCAACATCATCTGCACTTGATGGACAATGTAGTCAACATCATCTGCACTTGATTGATAATGTAGTCAACATCATCGGCACTTGATGGACAATGTAGTTAACATCATCTGCACTTGATGGATAATGTAGTCAACATCATCAGCACTTGATTGATAATGGGGTCAACATCATCGGCACTTGATGGACAATGTAGTCAACATCATCTGCACTTGATTGATAATGTGGTCAACATCATCGGCACTTGATTGATAATGTGGTCAAAATCATCGGCACTTGGTGGACAATGTAGTCAACATCATCTGCACTTGATGGACAATGTAGTCAACATCATCTGCACTTGATTGATAATGCGGTCAACATCATCGGCACTTGATGGACAATGTAGTCAACATCATCTGCACTTGATTGATAATGTGGTCAACATCATCGGCACTTAATTGATAATGTGGTCAACATCATCGGCACTAGATTGATAATGTAGTCAACATCCTCGGCACTTGATGGACAATGTAGTCAACATCCTCGGCACTTGATGGACAATGTAGTCAACATCCTCGGCACTTGATGGACAATGTAGTCAACATCATCTGCACTTGATGGACTAATGGACAATGTAGTCAACATCATCCGCACTTGATGGACAATTTAGTCAACACCATCGGCACTTGATGGACAAATGGACAATGTAGTCAACATCATCTGCACTTGATGGACAAATGCACAATGTAGTCAACATTATCGGCACTTGATGGACAATGTAGTCAACATCATGTGCACTTGATGGACTAATGGACAATGTAGTCAACATCATCCGCACTTGGTGGACAATGTAGTCAACATCATGTGCACTTGATGGACAAATGCACAATGTAGTCAACATCATCGGCACTTGGTGGACAATGTAGTCAACATCATCTGCACTTGATGGACAATGTAGTCAACATCATCTGCACTTGATTGATAATGTGGTCAACATCATCGGCACTTGATGGACAACGTAGTTAACATCATCTGCACTTGATGGATAATGTAGTCAACATCATCAGCACTTGATTGATAATGGGGTCAACATCATCGGCACTTGATGGACAATGTAGTCAACATCATCTGCACTTGATTGATAATGTGGTCAACATCATCAGCACTTGATTGATAATGTGGTCAACATCATCGGCACTTGGTGGACAATGTAGTCAACATCATCTGCACTTGATGGACAATGTAGTCAACATCATCTGCACTTGATTGATAATGCGGTCAACATCATCGGCACTTGATGGACAATGTAGTCAACATCATCTGCACTTGATTGATAATGTGGTCAACATCATCGGCACTTAATTGATAATGTGGTCAACATCATCGGCACTAGATTGATAATGTAGTCAACATCCTCGGCACTTGATGGACAATGTAGTCAACATCCTCGGCACTTGATGGACAATGTAGTCAACATCCTCGGCACTTGATGGACAATGTAGTCAACATCATCTGCACTTGATGGACTAATGGACAATGTAGTCAACATCATCCGCACTTGATGGACAATGTAGTCAACACCATCGGCACTTGATGGACAAATGGACAATGTAGTCAACATCATCTGCACTTGATGGACAAATGCACAATGTAGTCAACATCATCGGCACTTGATGGACAATGTAGTCAACATCATCAGCACTTGATTGATAATGTAGTCAACATCATCGGCACTTGATGGATAATGTAGTCAACATCATCAGCACTTGATTGATAATGTAGTCAACATCATCAGCACTTGATGGATAATGTAGTCAACATCATCGGCACTTGATGGATAATCTAGTCAACATCATCAGCACTTGATGGATAATGTGGTCAACATCATCAGCACTTGATTGATAATGTAGTCAACATCATTGGCACTTGATTGATAATGTGGTCAATATTATGCTGGTCACCTTTACTTTCCTGGACATTTCATGGTACTAAGTCTGAAACAGACACAATGCAAGCACCAGTACATCATCATCAAATGCCTTGCTTACTGACGTGGGCATCATGCTACTTCACAATCTGTGATTTGCAACTACATGTATCTGTTCATGTGTTGACATCCCTCCATGCCATGCCAAAAGACTATCAAGAATCTTTTTACTCTGTCTTCCTCTGTCTCTCTGTCCCCAGATCTTTCCAGTGGTCACAACATGTTCCATTTTCCCTCTTCTCATAACATGACCAAAAAATGATAACTGCCTCTTTCTGATGTTTGTGATGAGTTGTCTGTGAGCATTGGCCTCTTTTAAAACATCTGTGTTGCTCTTCTTAGCTGTCCAAGGAATTCTAAGGATTCTTCTGTAAAAACACATCTCTGCGGCCTCAAGATATTACCAGTACAGTGGACACAATAAGACAATGAAGTATAAGGTCTTGTCTTGTCTTGTCCACAATTGCCTCACAGCGTAGTGGGGAGTCGCAGTTTTCTATCCTGGGCCAGGTGTGTTGCATGTGTTGTTGTTAGTCCGTGTTGCCTCAGGATCTCTGATATATTGTCTATCCATCGTACTCTCGGTTTGCCTTTTGCTCTAGGGCAGTAGTGCTGTTCGTTGTATGCTCGTAGAGGCAGTTGGTCGGTTTGCATTCACATCAAGTGGCCAAACCACTCTATTTGTTGCTTCTTTATGTATTGCAGGCATGGTGTGGTTCCTACAATTGCTCTAATGTTCTCATTTCGCACGTCCTAATCTTTTTCTCCTGTGCTCTTGTTAGGGACCAGGTTTGGCATTGGTAGCAGAGGGTTGGTATAAACATGCAATTTATCAGTTGTCATTTTAGTGCCATAGTGATGCTTGGGTGTTTTAGCAGTGGGGAGAGTTGGTAAGTTACTGCGTTCGCCTTTTGACATCTTGCCTCAAGTTCGCTATCAATTCTTCCATCATCTGTGAAGATGCTCCCCAAGTATTTAAATTGCTGCACTTGTTTAAGTTGTTCGTTGTTAACTTGAATAGTTAGTATATTAGGTGTTCTACTTATTTTCAGAATTTCTGTTTTGGTGATGCTGATCTTTATGTTATATTCTTGCAGACTGTGTGTAGCGCATTTACATGGATTTGAAGATCTTTTTCATTTTCATGTATTAATTTTGTACTGTGTCCTTTTCTTCTCAAGTCCAAAATCCCCAGTATTTCTATTTTGTATTTCGGCATAAATTCTACCAACTCCGTCTCCTTATCCCCTAGTCCGCTAACATTTAACATGGCTGTTTTCGTATTCCTATGTGACCTCTTTGTTTTAAGTATAAGGTAGTCTTGAAAACTTTATGGGGGGGGGGGGGGAGAGAAGGGGTGGTAGGTTTAGAATCTTCAGCTGTGACCATCTTTGGCAGGCTCTTACAGTCCCAGGAATGCTTTAACTCCTTCTTTCCCAAGTAGTTGTTGCTTGAAATAATAACTGTTTGGATATAAAGAGGTTTGGATCAGAACAGGTTCAAATGAAAACAGCATGGAACTGGAGTAACAGTTTGGTTAGAATGGGTTTATGCTGCAGCTAGATGGAGCTCAAGAAGCTTACAAATACACACAACAAACCACAGTTTTTAGGATGGCCTGTCACGCACATACACGAGCAATGATGACACCGCTGAACCAGACACTGCGGCCATTAAATGCTTTTTAGCGAGCACATGTACTTAGCAGTTAGTCATTCACAAATATGGCTGAACGCACAAAGCAAACAGCTTGCAAGGAATTGGTGTGACTTGGCAGCCAGAGTAGACTGCCATATGTGAGCAATGATAACGTCACTGTACCAATCAGTGCGACCATTACACATTGTTTAATGAGCTATGCAGTCATCACTGTTGAATAAGCAGAATACAACATTGCATTAGTGTTAAGCTTCAGCATTTCTCCACAGAAACTACTATGATAATTCAGAAGGCTTCTGAGGATGACACAATGAGTTCACCACAAACAAAACTGTGGCACAAAACACTATAGTGACAGCCAAGAATCTGTTTTTGAAAGGAATTCAATATGCAGAACAGCAGAAAACATGTATGAGCTACAATCAACAAAGATCAGCCAATGACAGAGCGAGAACTAAAATAAAACTCCCCCATTTTCTTCTTCTTCATGTTCAACACCTGAAAACAAAAAGATCTACTTGCTTGTCCATACAGATAAGCCAGATCTGTTAAGCGAATGTGCACATACAAATTTCAGAAGTGGATGAGCAACCAGAACTTTCCACCAGGGTTTACAGCCGTGAACACAAAGAAGAAGGGGAAGAAGGCTGCCAAGTTACATCAGTGCTGTGCAAACTGTTCTCCTTCCTATCAACTATGGCTTATTCTTTTCCAGAAAGCTACCGTATGCCAGGGAATAAACACCATTAAACACATGGTGAGGGGATTTGTACTGATAAAGTTACGAAGGTCTGACTGAGGAGGGTGAAGAAATAAATGTAGCTGACTGGTTTGGATGAATGGGGTACATACTGCACTTACTGGATCTTGGTCTTCCATAGCGTAGGCCACATTGAAAAACACAGGAGACTGTTTGCATAACTTGTCCATGTGATCCCACAGGGAAGCTGCACACAAGCGATGCCTGGTCTCTGAGGGGGCAAGCTGACTGCAGAAAAACAGAGGAACATCTTACACCAGAGGAACATGTCATACCAGAGGAACATGTTACACCAGAGGAACATGTTATACCAGAAAAACACATATCAGGTTCAGTCACCTCATCAGACATGCTGTATCTAACACAGATCTGTATTAGGACAACCCATGTGGAGAATATCAAACCAGTTGTGTATTAATGTTGTCACTATCGCTATCTTTCTGACACAAAGAAAATCACAGTGGAAGGTGTCTGGCTTTAACCTCATTAACTGTGAATGTAAGTATGGTCATCTACACACACACACATGTACAAACTTGGATGGACAGACAGCAAGTGATCTTCTTCAACCCTTTATCTTCAGATGGAACAAGACCCCTTAAACCAGCTTGAGCTAAGCTATCCTATCCTTCATCAAACACACAGCTCACCCCATATCCTCCGCATCTTTTCTCCACAGTCTATCATTTTCTCTTCTATGTGTTTTGTTTTTGTCTGTCGTTATTTCTTGACCACTCCATGTTGGATCTGCCCCCTCCCCCCCCCAGAGAACAGACCCACTGCTCCCAAATAAACACATTGTATCCGGTGACTAATTAGGCATATTTCCGCCAATATTAATTAGATTTTTAGCAACTGATGCACCAACTGCTCATGAAAACAAAAACAGCCGTGGCTTTTCAGTTAAAACAAATATTTTGTTTATAATTCAATGGAAAAAAGTTAGTATAACAGACTATTACAAGTACAAATGCACTCAATTTCAAAACTGTTGGTATTGAAACCTCTGATAGTGAAAAAACTTCTGATCCAAAATGGAGGATTTGTCATCGCGGAAAGTTTAGATTCAAAGTTATTTTTGCTTCTGACATCACTTTGCTAATGCAGTTTCCAAATATGGACGGAAGTCTTGTGCAGCAGTCGTGTCGTGATAATCAAAGTGGCCAGCAGTCAGTTTACGTGTGGGCTGGTGTAATACCTTATGTAATATTTCTTATGTGTGTATAGCCATCTTATTGTGACCGAGCACTTCCATCAATGACAAACTGCATTTCTGGTGGCCACTGGTGGCTCTTGCACCTCCAGCAACTGCCACGTGCAATTACTGCACATGCATATTTCTGGATTGTAACAGGAAAATTGTTTGTTCACCATTTTTTTCAAACGAGACAGTGTGCGACATTTCATCTGATTTTCACTGGCACAGGAATAGAGCAAGAATGGGGTGACCAAATTGCAACAGTCTAATAATTTCTTTTGGACAACCTCATTTCCTTAGTCCATTTGTTCCCTGTTTAAGTACATGTTTAGCGTTTTCCCATTCTCTTCTCCTCGGGATGTTTCCAAAAAAACAGTCTTAGTATTTAAGTTTGAGCCAAGCAGTGTGTGGGGAGTCGCCGTGGCACAGCGACTAGACGCTCGCGTGCTGATCAGAAAGTCATGGGTTCGCTTCCTGGCGGAGCTGAACTTTTTTCAAAAATGACCTGGACTCCCAGGTCGACCCAGCCTTGAGTGGGTACCGGTTGCGGTCCTGGGAAGTATAAGTGGCCGGCATAATGCTAACCATATCCCCCATCTTATGCTGTTTGGTCTATAAAAACATAGGTCTAGTCCTATATGCCCTATAGGCCCAAAGACGTGGAAAAGGGTTCTTTACTCACAAGCAGTAAGCATGTCTGGCCAGTGTCTTCCACAGAAAGGCTTTTGTCAGTCAGGGACACACTTGGCTAGTTATTTGGCACAAACAGCTTCCTGTTTCATAAGTTTCTGTAGCATAGTGAAATTTCTTTTATGGGGTAAGCAAGCTGACCCCGCGCTCAACACTTCTCTTTTCTTATCCAGGCTCAAGACCAGCAATGGCTTAACTCTGTATACAAGTCAGAAGTGGCCAGGAATCGTTTAAACAAAAAACACCAATAGTTACCTGGGCTCCAACAAACTGGACACATGAGGCTGATGGTCCAGCTCATGATCTGAGAAACTGATGCCTTGCTCTTCCAGGAGCCAGCCTGACTCTACACGATCCAGCTCGCTGTCGAACAAGAAAGTCCTAAACCTATTGCTGACACAGTGGTAGGCCAAGTAGCGAAGAAAGTACTCACTGAACTCAAAAGACAGAGGGAACTGATGGTGAATCTGTTGAAAAAAACAAAACATTAACAATTATGTTTCAGAAAAATCTTAATGGAAAACAAGTATTAAAAATGTAAATATATTTTAAAATTACTGACTATGTAGCATGTCATATTCTTGAATGGTATCAGTTCAGGACCAGGGAAGTGTCTAGCAGAAAAGTTAGGATGCCCACCTCACAGATTATGTGACACATGTGTCATGAAATCCTCAAGGAGACAAGAAGTTGTCATATGTCTGTTGCAGGTGAAACAAAATCCTGGCATGTCAAATACATGACAAATGCAAGAACAAGCAACCTGTCTTCACCAACCTAGAAAATCTATCCACAGATGGTTTCTATTTTGAAATCACATATAGTCAGTCCAGGATTGATCTTTTTATCTCTTCATTGCTTGTCTTCATCTGGAATATGTTGTACTAAGTATAAAGTGCTGTGGGATTTTCCAACATCACAGAAAGATTATTGTAGATTTCTCAAGGAAGAAATGACAGTAAAGTATGGAACTGGTTAATACATCTCACGCTATTATGAGACAGCAGTAACCAGGACGTGGTCAGATACGACTGAGACAGTGTATAACAGTAGTTAGTATTAAATGTTCTCTGTTAACATTGAATATTATGTGGTATATAAAAACCTGACATCTCATATTGTGTCAGTGGCTTCAAGCAGAGGGGCCCATTAGGGAGGATACTAGCCTTATCCTAGGAAGATAAAATAAGAAAATGTAATGTTATGGCATGGCTGACCAAGCACTTACCCTTGGCTGGAAGTTGGTCTAGAAGGGCAGCTTTAACAGGCAGAGGAATAAAGTTCTGCTCTTCTCATCTGGCAGCTTCTGCAGGATCCTTTGTTCCAAACATACCGGTCTTACCTCTCCTTTGAAGTAAACAAGGCAGGCCAAGGGAAGGACCAGGCTGAATGGGCAACACCTGGTCTCTACAACATTACCCAGGCTTTGACCTATGGGGAGCAGGAACTACAATCCTGGCCTTAACTAACAATGATTCCCATGCTTCTCTGTTACACATTATAAGACTTAGGTCTGGAAAGACAGAAAGTTGCCACTGATTGCGAGCCAGTATACAAGATGTTCCATATTTCATATTCTTATGGCAACAGCTGTCTTGCAATTACCCTTACTTCGTTAAAGAATAACTGTTTTGTTAATAATCTATGTTAAAACTGTTAATAACCAATGTTAAACTGGTAATTACCTATGTTATAAACTGTTAATTACCTATGTTTAAAGTTATATTTTAACCATCATCATCACTCTGCTGGGCTGTTAGACCTCACATAGAACTCACAGTTTATTCTTCCATTCTGCATAACTGGTTCAGGTCGTGGGTTCGCTACTTGGCGGAGCCAGACTTAAAAAAACTGACATTAGCTCCCAGTTCGACCCAGCCTTGAGTGGGTACCGGGTGCAGTCCCGGAAAGTAGAGGCGGCTGGCGTGATGCTGATCACGTCACCCGTCTTGTGCCTATTGGTCTATAAAATATAGGTCTAGCCCTATACACCTAAAGGCGTGAAAAAGAGTCCTTTATTTTTTACTTATAATTGGTTCAATATCATGGTTGGAATCTAGTCCAGCACCTCTGCTTCTCTCACCAATGTCAGTCTAAGCGTTTCCTTTGGACATCCTCATTTCACCAAACCATCTGAGCCAAGGTCCAGTCATTTTAAACACGAAATTAGTACTTCCTTCTGAGTCAAGTAGTGTGCACTGACTTCCACAGAGCTGCTCCCATCAGCAACTATCATGCATGCACCTTGTGCACCGCACACTACTTGCCTAACTATTTCGTCAGAATTGCTTTCTGTTCTATAAGTTTCTGAATCATATAATTTTTTACAGGACGGGGGAGCTGGCCCCACGCCTAACCCTTCTCTTTCTCATCTGGGCTTGGGACCAGCAATGGCGGAGATCATCTATTAATAACCTATGTTAAATACAGTTTAAATACAGTTCTGTTAATAATCTATGTTAAAACATTTGCAAACCTTCGCACCAAATGTTCCCTACTCTCATACCTGATGTACTGCGTCTAAAAACTGCATGAAAATTGGAGCAAAGCCGCCGGCTTGAGCTGCTGCAGTCTGGTTGTTTCTGTGGCTAAATCGATGGCCAAATCCAAGCCACTCCTTCTCTATAAGAGTTCTGAAGCCCTCAATGGTGCGATAATAGGGGTCCAACATCAGCTGAGCCAGGGAAACAACCTGTGGCAGAAATATTATTTCCACTGAAACGATTCAGCTGAGCTTCTCATTGTCATAGAACAATTCTGTTATAAAGGTACCTTACTTCAGAAAAAAGACAATGTCGATGGAAATCATGCAATCTCGCCCAGCCCAGTAGGTGAAACATTCTAAAGCTATAATGGAGTCATCCCATTCATACACCAATTGGTCTATAAAATATACTGTTTAAAAAAAAGAAACACATAGTTATCGGATGGCGCGTTTCATCATCAGTTCTCGTTATGCCTAGTGGCACATGAGGCTTCAGAGAGGACTTTCCATGCTTTCCTGTCCTGTGCAATCTTCAGTGCAGTTTTCCATGTCAAAGATGCCGCACTCAGGTCACTTTCCATCGTTCGTCTCCATGTTGTTTTTGGGCGCCCCTGTTTTCTCTTTCCCTCTGGTGTCTATGTGAGAGCAGTTTTGGCAGGTATATCAATGGCGCGTTTAGTTTGTAAATAAAATACCGTACTCGGGTATGTGAAAAGCAGACTCAAATGTTGTTTACAGTGGACATGTGGGCGTGAATGGCGTGGGTTTTTGTAACTGTTACAACGTAGTGGTAAATTGTGTTTAAGACCATATCTGGTAATCTATCTGTGTGCATAGCTCACAATGCGCGCACGAGAAAGCAACACAAAAAGACTTAACACTATTCACCGCCTACAGAATTGAAACCCTTTAAAAGGATAATACTACAGTGGCAACAGCAGCAGAGAATCGCTTTATTCGGCTTCGAAGCTTAGAGACAGGTTTACAACAGCTTCCTCAACTGTACAGGCATTGCCTCCAAGATGTCATGTGTCTGATCAAACTGTTTAGAACAGACTGCATGATGTTGAACTTTGGGCTCGACGACTACACCGAGGACCTGTCCTTACGCGTGGCCACCGCCAAAATCTCTGAGACTGGATTGAACCCTGTTCAGATAACTGAACATGATCACTAACAAAATGAACCATTCTAGTGCACAAGCTGGATAACTCTGAGATTGAACTGAACCCTTTTCTGATAACTGAACATGTTCACTAACAGAATGAAACATTGTAGTGCACAAGCTGGATAACTCTTGAGATTTATTTGAACCTTATTAAGATAACTGAACATGTTCATGTTCACTAACAATAATGTCATACTGCCAGGAACTGTTCACCTCTCCGATCTGAAGATACCATACAATCTTGTGTGTAGAAACTGAAACACACACTGGATGTAGCTAAAAGCTGCAGAACTGAGGCTGGCATTATGGTAATGATCTGGAGAAAGGTGTACAGAAATATCATAAACAACATCAACGTAATAAAAGAGGTAAAAATCCATGATTACATTGCGTACAGCAAGACATCTACACCTGAGCACACCATTCATGAACAGACAACACAGCCTCATAAAAATAATTACCTGTGTTGTGACATCCCATCCATCCTCTAGACAGATCATCACAGAGCACACCATTCATGAACAGACAACACAACCTCATACAAATAATTACCTGTGTTGTGACATCCCATCCAATCTCTAGACACATCATCACAGAGGACACCATTCATGAACAGACAACACAACCTCATACAAATAATTACCTGTGTTGTGACATCCCATCCAATCTCTAGACACATCATCACAGAGGACACCATTCATGAACAGACAACACAACCTCATACAAATAATTACCTGTGTTGTGACATCCCATCCAATCTCTAGACACATCATCACAGAGGACACCATTCATGAACAGACAACACAACCTCATACAAATAATTACCTGTGTTGTGACATCCCATCCATCCTCTAGACAGATCATCACCATTCATGAACAGACAACACAACCTCATACAAATAATTACCTGTGTTGTGACATCCCATCCATCCTCTAGACAGATCATCACAGAGCACACCATTCATGAACAGACAACACAACCTCATACAAATAATTACCTGTGTTGTGACATCCCATCCATCCTCTAGACAGATCATCACCATTCATGAACAGACAACACAACCTCATACAAATAATTACCTGTGTTGTGACATCCCATCCATCCTCTAGACAGATCATCACAGAGCACACCATTCATGAACAGACAACACAACCTCATGCAAATAATTACCTGTGTTGTGACATCCCATCCATCCTCTAGACAGATCATCACAGAGCACACCATTCATGAACAGACAACACAACCTCATGCAAATAATTACCTGTGTTGTGACATCCCATCCATCCTCTAGACAGATCATCACAGAGGAGCCCTGGTCATCTATCAAGTCTACCACAGCTCCTGAGAGCTGGAGGATGTTCGTCAGCTGTAACCAGGAAACATGTTATGTCAGTTTGTTTACTTCATATCATCTCATGTAGCAGATTGCTTATCCAGATACTAGCACACAGCTTGTTTATCCAGATACTAGCACACAGCTTTTGTTTTCTATTTGTCACTCTACAATAAGAGTATTTTTGTGACTGTACATACATTTATTCTCAGCAAATTATTCTGCACATTTTTCTTGTTTCCACACCCACACACAATATCTTCCAGCTCAGGCCGCGAGGCACTGGTAATCATGTCTGCCCACGGCCTGTTGTCCTGTGTACTATTAATTATTCCTGAGACAGATATTCCCATGCTATGATGTCAAACCTAAAATGGGTACCAGGATGGGCTGTCCTGGGAAAGTAAAGACAGCCGGCGTAATGCTGACCACATTACCCACAGAGTGCTGATGGTCTGTAAAAATATGGGACGCTCTGCCCATATGCCCGATGCGCCGAAAGGGGTGAAAAGGGAACTTTACTTTTTTTTTAATGATATCAAACTATCCAACATCATCTCTCTTGTTCACTTGCTGCTTGTCTTCCTTTCTATCTTTCTTGTCATAAAAAAAGAAAGTAAAGGACCCTTTTCCACGCCTTTAGGCGTATAGGGCATATAGGGCTAGACCTGTATTTTATAGACCAATCGGCACAAGATGGGTGATGTGGTCAGCATCACGCCGGCCAATTTTACTTCCCGGGACTGCATCTGGTCCCCACCCAAGGCTGGGTCGACCTGGGAGCCAAGGTCATTTTTGAAAAAAAAGTCAGGCTCCGCCAGGGAGCGAACCCACGACCTTCCGATCTGCGGCGAGTGTCTAGCGGCTCCGCCACGGGGACTCCCTCTTGTCATGGCATACTCCAATCTCCCCTTTCTTACAATGTGCCCAAAGAATGTATACTGTCTTTTCCTAATGTGGATAATCAGTTTTATTCTTGAGCTAATTTCTTTCAAGAGATTTTTAAAATGCCTTCAATCTGTCAACAGTGTTCACAAGAAACATATATTCATCATCATCATGTGCTGGTAAGTGTAGGCTGTCACGTTTTGCCATCTCACACGATCACCAGAATCCCGGATCAGTTCAATGCTTTTGTCTCGCCCCATCCATTTGGTCAGGCCACCGAGGTATTTATCTCTTGGCCTTCCTCTTGCTTGTTTTTCCACAAATCTTGTCAGCTGTTACCTAATTCCCGAGTCAATTTCTTTTTATGACAAACATATATTAGCAATATTTTAGTGTGTGCTGCTTTTCTAATATGAATAATTTTGTTAGAGCAGCAACCAAATACCGTGATCATCATCATCATGTAGCAGGGCCTTTGTAGCTTGTCATCTCCTCACATCCCATGGGAAAGCATCCCTCAGCCACTAGTTAATGCCACTTGTCATGTATTTTCATGCCCAAGAGGAAACAGTTCCAGACCAGACAACAGCAGGCGCCGCCTATGTGTTCAGTGGTCGACTCCTGAAGGTTTATGCTACTTGCTGATAGTTCAGCCTGTAGTCGCAGATTCCCATAATTAATTGTGTTTTTTTTCTTTCTATCTTATACTTGACCCTGTAACTACTAAAGGTTATGGGAAATTATAATGTCATAATTTCTACTCAGAAAGTCACTTTTTTTCATGAGGCCCCCTCCCCTCCCCACAAAATTCCCTTCCTAAATGCTAGTTTTAGTAAATGTAATCAATTCCAGTCCGCCGTAATCTTTGCCCAGGCACAACTGATATCAGTGCTGTTAGTTAGGCTTCTGATGAACAAGCCACTATAGTAAGTCAGTAAAGCAACATTTACAGGGGATTGGACCCAGCCGGAAGTGCTGGTTTTTGTGGCTTCTCAGAGTTATAAGACTTAACTCTATTTTGATAATTCACCAGACAGAGGCAACAGAGGAAGAGAAAGTGATACACGTGACAGAGGACAACATCACAAGATTGACCAACAGCAGTTCAAAAGAGTGCACAACAAGATGAAAGACAGTGTGTGTTGGAGATTCATTGCAGCGAACCTTCACTGTACAGATGCTACCTGACTGGTTGGAAACAATGTCCACAAGTTACCTGTTGCAGCCATTCAGAATCTTCCACTGCTTTGTGAAAGCTGCAATCTGTGCTGGCTAGGGGGCTGCTAGGTACACAAGCCCTCATCAGCTTCTTGAAGCTGGCTTTCACCTGACGTACCTCGTATAAGTCAACTGGGATGAAATCACATCTCATAGAGGCTTCTGTCTTCAGACCCTGTGATTGTATTTATACAAACTATGACAGAAATAGCACAATGTCACTAACAGTTAATATTATTGTGACAGAGGTGGCATCAAGACATCGACAGTTAGTACATTCTATGAGTTATGACTTAAGAACTGACACCACAGCACTCAGGACATTCCCATAAGCACTCCGTCCACATCTTCAGCAGAAAGCACACAGTTCTAATTCTGATGGTTTCAATAACAGTCTAATTGTACGTCAACACCCTCCCCTCCCCCCCCCCCCCCCCCCCCCCCCCCCCCCCCCCCACACATCAAACCAGCCAGTCCCTACACTCATGGCCTAGTGCGATTAGAACCCTATACACATCAATCTGATTATTGCTCAGACTCTCTAGTTAGTGAGTTGGTCGACAGATTATTTTCTTCATTGCAAGTCAAACCACTCAGTCTACAAGTGATCGGATCCCTTCCACAGTAAATCCGGCAGCGTGTAGCAGCTAACGACGCTAGTCCTGTGTTGGTAATTATTCTTCTTTGGCTACCTGCGTAGTGTTCTTGTTTGGCCCCACCCTGTTTAACCTGCTGTTCTTGCAGTCTGGCCTTGGTTGCTGATTCACAGTTCTCAAATGGTTCACGCAAACATCTTAACTCTCTTAGAGCATTCAGTATATCAGTCTGGTTCATGGCTTGCCCAGCTCTCACAGTAGCCTTACCTGCAAGTCTATCAGCTTGCTCATTTCCTGGTACCCCCACCTCCTAGCATTAAAATGAAACTAATCCTTGTCAGCCATGAGCGCTGTAGAACCACCAACCACTACCTTCGGACCCAGCCTTTCTCTATCTTCCTGAGCATACTCATTGAGTCACTGAGAAAGCATGCTCCAGTGAAAGTCTGTGTCTCTAGCCATGTTACTGTTTTAGTCACAGCCAGGACCTCCATAGTCAGACTACTTGTAGTTACAGCAAAAGCTCCATAATCTTCCTTCACAACACTCTCTCCAACCTGAGCCGTGAAAGCCCGAGAGCTTCTAACATGGCGGATTACAGAACCATCTGTGTAAATGACAGCATCACTGCGATGACTTTCTTTTATCTTCTATCTGGCTCGCATCATCGCACGCTTGCTGCTATCTCACAAACCGACATCACACGACGAGCAGAAAATGGACGACTGGAAAAACAACACGATACTGTTCCAGCACTTTAATCTTCCACTCGCGGCTTACACAGCAATCAGCAATCTATGTATACTTGTGACTTGTTGGTGACTGGACATGCACAAAAATCTGAATATAATCTGATAACAAGATCACGAGCAGGTGTTCTGCAGTGTCCAGTGTCACTAGTGTTCCCAATGCCATTAGTCTGTGTGTACTGGTGGTCACCATTTAGGAGAGTTTCTCGGTGATCTAAGCGATCACTATCAGGACAATGCCGGTATGTCATGTCCTCCCGTCCAATAAATATCTCACCTTTATTGACTGTCTTCTAGAGCTGGTGCCTTCCTACCCATTAACTGATTCTTTCCATCCTATCTTACTTATACTACCTTTGGCCCCCAACAGGCCAGTTTTGCTAACTATTTGAACTTTGACCCTGAACTAATGATATCTTCATGCATGAGACATGTCCCACAGTTAGGCATTTCTGTTCCTACACTGGTGGGGGGTTCCCTTGTATCTCCACATTTACAGATTCCTGATAAACATATCCAAATGACACATTGTCATTTTTGATGATTTATACAGAACACACTGATTAATTTAAAAATTTTATTTTTCAAATAACTACACTTCATTGTTTTAGCAACAATAGTTGGGCCACTTGTAGCCTACAAACAGCAGACAGCCTACAAACATTATACGGTCCACAAACAGTAGACAGCACATAAACAGTATACAGTCTACAAACAGTGGACAGCCTACAAACATTATACGGACCACAAACAGTAGACAGCACATAAACAGTATACAGTCTACAAACAGTGGACAGCCTACAAACATTATACGGTCCACAAACAATAGACAGCACATAAACAGTATACAGCCTACAAACAGTGGACAGCCTACAAACATTATACAGTCCCACAAACAGTAGACAGCACATAAACAGTATACAGCCTATAAACAGTGGACAGCCAACAAACATTATACAGTCTACTATCAGTAATCAGTCTATAAACAGTATACAGTCCACAAATATTCAATTCACCAACAGTATACAGCCTACAAACAGTATAGGCCCATAAACAGTATACAGCCTATAAACAGTATACAGCCTACAAACAGTAGACAGTTGCCACAAACCTTCATGTGAGACCTCTCCCCAAACACATAGAGAGCCACATGGGCCATGTGCTTCATTCTGTGGTTGATCAACTCTCCAGACACTAAGCCCAGTGCTGTGTGCTGCCTATGACTGATGTTCGGAGACCTGGCTACACAGAGTGAACAGAAATCAAACAGCAAGGATAACAGTGAGCAAGTGGAGATACAGGTGATGTTCATCAGAATAGCTGACAGACTTCAGGATATGTCATGCCAATCACGGTAAAAGGATTAGACTGAGATGAGAATGAGAATATTGTTGGCAAATTTTCACCTTTCCAGATCATAGTGTTATATCCTGTAGTGAGAATAATAACCAGAAAAACAGTGACCTAGTGAGGATAAATATGATGTTAATCAGGATAATAGTGAACTAGAGAGGATAAATATGATGTTAATCAGGATAATAGTGAACTAGTAAGGATAAATATGATGTTAATCAGGATAATAGTGAACTAGAGAGGATAAATATGATGTTAATCAGGATAATAGTGAACTAGAGAGGATAAATATGATGTTAATCAGGATAATAGTGAACTAGAGAGGATAAATATGATGTTTGTCTGGATATTAGTGAACTAGAGAGGATAAATATGATGTTAATCAGGATAATAGTGAACTAGAGAGGATAAATATGATGTTAGTCTGGATAATAGTGAACTAGAGAGGATAAATATGATGTTAGTCTGGATAATAGTGAACTAGAGAGGATAAATATGATGTTAGTCTGGATAATAGTGAACTAGAGAGGATAAATATGATGTTAGTCTGGATAATAGTGAACTAGAGAGGATAAATATGATGTTAGTCTTGATAATAGTGAACTAGAGAGGATAAATATGATGTTAGTCTGGATAATAGTGAACTAGAGAGGATAAATATGATGTTAGTCTGGATAATAGTGAACTAGAGAGGATAAATATGATGTTAATCAGGATAATAGTGAACTAGAGAGGATAAATATGATGTTAGTTTGGATAATAGTGAACTAGAGAGGATAAATATGATGTTAATCAGGATAATAGTGAACTAATGAGGATAAATATGATGTTAATCAGGATAATAGTGAACTAGAGAGGATAAATATGATGTTAGTCTTGATAATAGTGAACTAATGAGGATAAATATGATGTTAATCAGGATAATAGTGAACTAGAGAGGATAAATATGATGTTAGTCTGGATAATAGTGAACTAGAGAGGATAAATATGATGTTAATCAGGATAATAGTGAACTAGAGAGGATAAATATGATGTTAATCAGGATAATAGTGAACTAGAGAGGATAAATATGATGTTAGTCTGGATAATAGTGAACTAGAGAGGATAAATATGATGTTAATCAGGATAATAGTGAACTAGAGAGGATAAATATGATGTTAATCAGGATAATAGTGAACTAGAGAGGATAAATATGATGTTAGTTTGGATAATAGTGAACTAGAGAGGATAAATATGATGTTAGTTTGGATAATAGTGAACTAGAGAGGATAAATATGATGTTAATCAGGATAATAGTGAACTAGAGAGGATAAATATGATGTTAGTTTGGATAATAGTGAACTAGAGAGGATAAATATGATGTTAATCAGGATAATAGTGAACTAGAGAGGATAAATATGATGTTAGTTTGGATAATAGTGAACTAGAGAGGATAAATATGATGGTAATCAGGATAATAGTGAACTAGAGAGGATAAATATGATGTTAGTTTGGATAATAGTGAACTAGAGAGGATAAATATGATGTTAATCAGGATAATAGTGAACTAATGAGGATAAATATGATGTTAATCAGGATAATAGTGAACTAGAGAGGATAAATATGATGTTAATCAGGATAATAGTGAACTAGAGAGGATAAATATGATGTTAGTTTGGATAATAGTGAACTAGAGAGGATAAATATGATGTTAATCAGGATAATAGTGAACTAATGAGGATAAATATGATGTTAATCAGGATAATAGTGAACTAGAGAGGATAAATATGATGTTAGTTTGGATAATAGTGAACTCATCATCACGTAGCAGGTCCTTTGCAGAACGTCGCTCTCATCACAGTCTGCCTGTAAGAAACTCGGTCTCTCGCCAGCTTTCCCGCCTCATGTACTTTTATACTCAAGGAGTCACTTATATCCTGTGTCCATCTTCATGTCGGTCAGTCCATGCCCCTCCTTCCTGGTACCATGCCCTTTGCCATAATTTTTTCCAATCCGTCACAGTTATAGACCAACGGCACAAGATGGGTGATGTGGTCAGCATCATGCCGGCTGCCTCTACTTCCCGGGATTGCACCCGGTACCCACTCAAGGCTGGGTCGACCTGGGAGCCAAGATCATTTTTGAAGAAAAGTCCGTCTCCACCAGGGAGCGAACCCACGACCTTCCGATCCGCGGTGCGCATCTAGCCGCTCTGCCACGGCGACTCCAACAAATGTGATGTAAGTCAGGATAATAGTGAACTTGTGAGATAAATGTGGTGTTAGTTTATACAATAGTGAACACTCAGCTAGTCAGGAAAACAGTAATGCTACTGATGAAAACAGGAAGATCAGGCTTGAAAACACTGACATAGTCAGAATAACAGCGAGCTAGTCAGGGCAACAGGGACCGATTCAGGGTATCAGTGGGTTAATCAACATAACAGTGAACTATTCAGCATAACAGTGAGATAGTCAGGGTAACAGTGAGCCAGTCAGGGTAACAGTGAAATAGTCAGGGTAACAGTGAGTGAGTCAGGATAACAGTCAGCTAGTCAAAATAACAGTGAGCGAGTCAGGATAACAGTGAACTAGTCAGGATTAAAGTGAGCTAGTCAGGATAACGGTGAGTTAGTCAGGGTAACAGCAAGATCAATCAGGAAATCAATGAGACTAACAGTTGAGAACATGTGGAAATAAAGGACAAGTCAAGAGTATAAACAAGTCAGTCAAAACATGAACACTGTGACAAGACTTTTGGCTCTTTCAATTTAAGAAGGTTAAAAAACTGGGTGACAAAAAAAAAAATAACCTTAACAAGATTGTTGTTGTTGTTATCGATCCAGCGGCGCATTAGCTTTCGCCCTTTGGCCCAATGCCATGTAGTGGAATTTGCATGTTTTCACAAGCTGTTCTTTTCCTCCGTACAAGGTGTTCCACTTGTCTGGTCTCGGAGGGAGTAGCGTTCTTCTTGTCTCACTGAGTTTTGGGCACTCAAAGAGATGGTGTTCAACAGTTTCATAGGGGTAGTTACATAGCTGGCACTCTGGGGAATGTTGTGGCTGTATTCTGTTTAGGTGTCCATTGAGTGGAGTATGTTGCGTTCTAAGTCTGAAGATTGTGGCCTGGTCCCTTCTTGTTAGATGGTTAATGCTGTCATTAGGATCAGGGCCAGACATATGTCTATACACCTCTCTTCCAGTGTCTCCCATGGATCAAGAATTGTTCTTCTGTTCATAAAAAGTTGCTGAGAAATGAGCAGTGAATAAAAAGGGGGGAAAAACCCCTCTGCACTTACATGGCTCTTGATTCCTCCCTTGTGAAGTAATACGAGGACTAGTTGAGATCCCTCTCTTGTCTACAGAATACCCTTGAGCTATGGTGCTTCTAGAATCTGCAGGTGAAGAATTACCAAGAGATTCTGCAGCTAGTCTTGCTTTGATGAGAAGATCCAGTGAAGACAGAGGGTCGCCACTACTACTGGGTGTAGCTGCTATCAACTGTGATAAGTATTTTCCTAGTTCTAGTGTTGAGGAAGAGTCTCCGGTGCTGCAGGAACCTGTGTTACCATACAAAGATTTTCACGATCAGGTTTGAAAACAAGCAAGAAAGTTAACAAACATACTGGGCAAAACAATAACACGATCAAGAAGTGAAAATGGTAAGACCAATCTATCAGCCAGCCTGTCCTTTACCAAACGTCACTCTTTTCACGGCAGGCCTGAAAGTCTCTCTTTCTCCGGCCCATTCTTCAGCCCCGTGTACTTTCATAGCCAAACTGTCTTCAATGTCCCGCATCCAACTGTGAGTGGCCGGAAACTGCAGCCTCCATCACAATGGATAGATGATACAACTGGTATGAGTATTACTGCTCCCCACACAGGACCGCAGACTACGCTGTAACTGGAGGTGTGCTCTAGTGTAACTGTTACACTACGCTGTAACTGGAGGTGTGCTCTAGTGTAACTGTTACACTACGCTGTAACTGGAGGTGTGCTCTAGTGTAACTGTTACACTACGCTGTAACTGGAGGTGTGCTCTAGTGTAACTGTTACACTACGCTGTAACTGGAGGTGTGCTCTAGTGTAACTGTTACACTACGCTGTAACTGGAGGTGTGCTCTAGTGTAACTGTTACACTACGCTGTAACTGGAGGTGTGCTCTAGTGTAACTGTTACACTACGCTGTAACTGTGTAGGTGTGCTCTAGTGTAACTGTTACACTACACTGTAACTGGAGGTGTGCTCTAGTGTAACTGTTACACTACGCTGTAACTGGAGGTGTGCTCTAGTGTAACTGTTACACTACGCTGTAACTGTGTAGGTGTGCTCTAGTGTAACTGTTACACTACGCTGTAACTGTGTAGGTGTGCTCTAGTGTAACTGTTACACATGGCTGTACAGGGTTTCTGGCATTTGCCCCTGTTTGATTCTCATTTCTGAGGTGTTAATTCTATGGATTGCAATTGTGGAGGGGCACAATGACCACCATCACCACCACATCTGGTATTCTCAATTCCCATTAGAAACTGGAGTGGGTCAGAGTTATAGAGAAAGGCAGCTATGGAACACACTAGCCCAATGATGTTATACTATTCCACGGGTGATGGATCTGTGGCTTAGGAATTATGAATGCACTTTCGTAAATTCAGGGGGCTGTGTGGTCTCGAGGCATGTTGTCCACCTCGAGTGCTAGAGGTTCCTTGTTCAATTCCCCGGTCGGTAGGGACTGGGATTTTTCACGTGGACTTGGACTTCTAGTAATTCCCCCTGGTTTCAGGATAGTGAGATCAGACGCCCATGTGTGTTGTTGCGCATGTAAAAAAATCCCTTGGCAGTTGGAAATCGAAAAGACTAGCCTAACGGCGCCGCCCAGGCAAAAGAATAACAAATCTACCCAAAGTGTTGCAGGATCCTCGCCAGTGCTACAGAGCCTGTGCACTGTGCTGAGCTTCATCAGACTTAGACTTGAGTTAGAAGAAGAACGGAGCACTTATGGGTTACTACCAGTGTGTCATGATGTTGATCAGTTGTTCAAACCTCAAACCTTTCATCAATAATCCCACATGCCGGGTTCAAGTCAGATGCGGGAACTATTTCAGCAAGCTTAAGTAAATCTGACGTCAAGCGTTCCTTTTTTGCCACACAGATTAGTTGGTTTAAACAACAGATCAACATCATGGCAAAAGGTTAGTAACCCATAAATGCTCGGTTCTACTTCTAACTCAAGACTAAGTCCAAAGGGTCTTAGCCAGCAAAGTGCACGAACTCCATAGCACCGGCGATGATCCTGAAATACTTTGGGTAGATTTTAAACTCCAAATTATGCCCTGGCAGCACCGTTAGGCTATTTTTTTTTATTTCCAACTGACAATTAATTTGTTTATTTGTGCAGTAACACACACTGGCGTGCAATCTTACTACCCAGACCATGGGAAATTACTAGAAGCCCATGTGAAAAAACCCAGCCTTTATCAGGGCCTGAACCCGGGACCTCCAGCACAGGAGGCGGACGCCATGCTTTGAGACCACAAGCCCCCCCCCCCTTCCCTTTCCATACAGATTAACCCGGTTCAACCCTAACAGATGGTAAAATTAGAGTGGTTAATGGGGCGTTTATTTTGTGTTCAGAAATGACAAGAAAATACTTTTCACAGCTGTTCAGACCAACATGAAACTCTAGCCACTACACCGCAACAGCTCCTGTAACAACTTAACTCACTCACTCACTCATTCTTTCTCACTGTGGCATATGCATACAGAAACACATGGACACTGACAGCTATTGTAACTCCCCCTCATCAAAAAATTGTTACATTGAACTAGCAAGTGTCTGCAACTAACAGAGTCAACGGTGACCATCGTTGGTTACAGAGACAAAACATCTTACTTGCAGCAGAGCTGTGTCATAACAGAAACATAACATCTTACTTGTGGCAGAGTTGTGTCATAACAGAGACAGAATATCTTACTTGCAGCAGAGAGAGTTGTGTCGTAACAGAAACAGAAAATCTTACTTGCAGCTGGGTTGTGTTGTAATAGAAACAGAACATCTTACTTGCAGCTGGGTTGTGTTGTAACAGAAACAGAAAATCCTACTTGCAGCTGGGTTGTGTTGTAATAGAAACAGAACATCTTACTTGCAGCTGGGTTGTGTTGTAATAGAAACAGAACATCTTACTTGCAGCTGGGTTGTGTTGTAATAGAAACAGAACATCTTACTTGCAGCTGAGTTGTGTTGTAATAGAAACAGAACATCTTACTTGCAGCTGGGTTGTGTTGTAATAGAAACAGAACATCTTACTTGCAGCTGGGTTGTGTTGTAATAGAAACAGAACATCTTACTTGCAGATGAGTTGTGTTGTAATAGAAACAGAACATCTTACTTGCAGATGAGTTGTGTTGTAATAGAAACAGAACATCTTACTTGCAGATGAGTTGTGTTGTAATAGAAACAGAACATCTTACTTGCAGCTGGGTTGTGTTGTAATAGAAACAGAACATCTTACTTGCAGATGAGTTGTGTTGTAACAGAAACAGAACATCTTACTTGCAGCTGGGTTGTGTTGTAATAGAAACAGAACATCTTACTTGCAGCTGAGTTGTGCCGTAACAGAAACAGAAAATCTTACTTGCAGATGAGTTGTGTTGTAACAGAAACAGAAAATCTTACTTGCAGCTGAGTTGTGCCGTAACAGAAACAGAAAATCTTACTTGCAGCTGAGTTGTGTCGTAACATTGTCCCTAAAATTCTGGCATGGAAACTGCTGGCTCTCAGCAACAAAGCTCTTGTTTTTGGGTGTCTCCAAGTAATCACCGGAAACCTGCCATCACAAAGTGAACTCCAATCTCATCACACACAACACGCAGCTCAATTATAATATTTCCTTCTATTTTCTACACAATACAAATTTCAACTTAAAAATAAAATGTAAAAAAATTAATTAAGATATTTTACATGGAAAACATAACATTCAATTTGAGAAATTGCTTTCTATTTTACATACATCAATAGCTCAATAACAATTTTTCTTGTTTACAGAAAAAGCAGGTTTCAGCTCAATAAACTAGTATTTCTCATACTAAATATAATAGTAAGCTCAACAACAATAAATTGTTTGTCACACTAAGGCAATACTCAACAAATAATAAAATCTTTATAAAATATTTATTGTTGGCCAAACCCTTTAGGCCAACAAAAATAGCATTATAAATAAATGTACAAGACCGACTGGCATTCATAGAAACAGTGGACAGATGCAAAGATAGCAGAATTCACAATAATATAGTGGATAGTGCACTCTCTAGTGCACTTGTGACCGACAATCACAACTTCATGTGTTGTGTAGAGAAGAAAATCTACAGCAAGCAGCATATCACTCATATGTATGTACGCTGACCCAGCGGTCATGTGACTAAATCTTTATCAAAACAGGATTAAAAAAAAAAAAAATTCAAACTGACCTAAGCTCTCACTGTGACTCCCTAATATGGGTAGCAGAAAATGATCTAGAAAGTAAAGGTGGCCAGCATGATACTAATAACACCCAGCTTTCACCGATGGTTCATAAACTGGAATTGGTACTGAACACCCAAAACTCCTTAAAGTGTAAAGACGCCTTTCCCCTTTTATTTAAAAGTTTTTATTTTCAACACATCCCAAGTCTGCCATAATAGCATGGGGATAGGATCGTGAACCCGTTTATACCTTCTGAATAAATATTTATCTTAATAAGATGTTTTTTTTTGGCTATTGATCCAGTAGCCCAATGTCATGAAGTCATACTTCAAAGATATCTCAATAGAAATTGTGTTCTAGGTCGCTTTGCATGCAGCCTTCTGTGCCAAGGGTGAAGTATTTGAGGCTCTATGTGAAGACTCTCAAGCTACCAAATGCCATCTGTGCCAAGGGTGAAGTAATCGAGGTTCTATGTGAAGACTGTCAAGCTACTAAATGCCATCTGTGCCAAGGGTGAAGTAATCGAGGTTCTATGTGAAGACTGTCAAGCTACTAAATGCCATCTGTGCCAAGGGTGAAGCATTTGAGGTTCTATGTGAAGACTGTCAAGCTACCAAATGCCATCTGTGCCAAGGGTGAAGTATTTGAGGTTCTATGTGAAGACTGTCAAGCTACCAAATGCCATCTGTGACAAGGGTGAAGTATTTGAGGCTCTATGTGAAGACTGTCAAGCTACCAAATGCATTCTGTGCCTGATGAGGCTCACTGACATCTAATGAAATGCAAACACATTGTATGTTTTCACTTCACTGTGTTGAAATAGTCCAGATTTTCTAACTATATGAATGGTATAGAGTTAGATGACTGGAAGTACAACAGATACAAAGGTAAACGGTTCTGTGTGGACAATATCACCAATAACCAGGTAACTACCTAGTCAAGCAACCTTTTCACACCAGAGCTGTATCCAGCATATGATGCTGGACTCATGGTGTTTTAGACCAGTCGGTACTCAATGGGTGATGTGGTTACATCTTACCAGTCACCTTTACCTCCCAGGACTTTACCTAGTAAGCATTGTAGGCTGGCCATTAAAAAAAACAAAAAACGAATGACGTGGATCTTTAGACCAGCAGGTTTAAGACTCTGGCCATTACACCGCAACAGCTCCCATAACGGCCTTACTCACTCACTCATTCTTTCTCATTGGAACACAAGCATACAAACAAACATGCAACCTCCAACAACACAATCAACTTTACCACTTTCTACACCTGCCAAGGGCAAGAGAATTATCAATTACTGCACATTTACCTGGAATGCCTGTTGCAGCGGCAGAATTTGCGTATGCTGTCATCAGAGACAGCCTGTGGTACCACAAGGAGACCTGGGTAACTGACAGAAATATTGAAAGGTAGGTGCAAGTTTTACAAACTATTTATATCAATGAGTCACCGACATTTACAGCGTCAAATGTACCAAAAATGTATAAAAATTTTTATTTATGATAGTGTAACTTATGGTCTACTTTTAAAATGCAAGCTGGGCATTTATTGACACTTATCAAGTAGAGCCGTACCCATGTCTGCATTTTTTTTCACTGTCAGTAAAACATATGTAGATGACTTGTCTCTATTGTTCTATTTACATGAAGACTATGGATGTATGTACAACATGTGGATATAATAAACAACAGTGACTGCAGTCAAATCTTTACCAAATTATTCAATGAACACAACACAAACTATGACTCTGGAACCTCAACGAGGTGCAAAGGAAAAACAGGCATAGATGCAACACATGTTGTGACCAAAGCTTTTGTTAACAAAGAAAATAACAGGGAACTATAAACCAAAACAAATGACAGAAGGTATGAGGGTGGACATTTGAAGAAACCCAGTAAAATGTGGCTACCATCCTCACTATCAGCTGCAATGCTAGTAGCTCATGAAGTAGAACTGACCAACTCCACATTTCACACCTTAGAGGATGTACTGGACACATTGCCATTGTTGATTCTCTTAACAATTATAACCAGCGTACTGAGGAACCCACCAGTGCAGTAGCTAAATACTTGGGGCTGCTGCCCAGTAGTTATGTGCTCAGATCCCCAGCAACATCGACTTCCAGATCCACCCAGCAAATACTGGTTATCAGAAATTGTCATCAGAAGTAAAGGCTGCTGTCATGTTATTGGTCCTCCACTCCATCACCCACAATGCAACAGTCAGTCATTAAAAATAAGGAGAAGACACTATATGCCAATTGACCTCATCACAGGAAAAAGGCTCCTTTATTTTTTTTACTATCGTATAATGTGTGCATTATTTATAGACTTTCTTAAAGCTACAGAATAGTAAGTGCCTACTAATAATAACATCAGGCAGGGTGAATGAACAACACAGATACAGGTGGTATTTCAGAGAAGTTCACAACGACGTGTAGTTACCTCTTGCTCAGCATATAGTTTGCATTAACTGTGGACACCCTGAACTGGTCTGAACTGCCTCCCCGTTGACCAGATGTGGCCACACTGCCCAAGCCGAGCCTCTGGTAGTCCTGATATGCATGCCTCTCCATCAGCCGCTCAATGTTCTTTGGGTCGATGGAATATGTGGGTGTCTGATCATTTTCATTTATCACTGGTTCAGAAACAGGAAGATATTTTATGAAAGTCTACTCTACCGAAAACTGTATTATGTTTTCATATATGGTGGTTGCATAAAGTCTATGTTTGAGAAGTCTACCACATACACACAAAAAGTGTGGCAAGTATTAGAGTCTCAAATACCTTTAGTGGAAGAAATGTCAGATAACCATTCCATCAGACTACAATTAGCACCATTGTATTAGAATTCTGCAATGGTTGCTGAAGATCGAGATGGAGCCTTTTATTGGAATTCCCAAAGTGCTGTAATATTGGTTCTTAATTGTGTAGCCTAACACAAGTGCAATGTGACCTCCATGGCAGTGTAACCCCTAATTATGGAGATATCTCTGTCTCTTCTACAGATAGATCCAAGTTTTATAAGCTGAAGCTATCAGACTTTTCCTCAGCAAATTTCTTTGACTGACTGATCATTTTAACCCTGAGGACTGCTACCGGAAGGCTTAACACCCCTGAAACGTAAAAAAAGCTGCAATCTAGATGCCGAAACAAAAGAACACTCTGTTCAACCTTCTAAGACATTACAATCAGTGCTACCACCATTTCCTGTCTAATCTAAAAACCTTCAAAGGCGTCAAGGACAAAAGTGGCCGCATTTGACCACGTGTCTTTCCCTGGCCAGTAACTTCCCAAAACTTGTGGAAGCAGATTTATCAGTTTAAAAAGTTCTTGTAGCTTACCCACCACTATCTTCTCCAACACTGTACCAAAGGTGTTTTGTAGAGTTATGATCCTAAAGCCTCTGAGTTTTGAAATATTCTTGCCAGGCTTAGGAAGTGGAATGAGGTAGCTTTGCATCCACTCTTGTGGGACTGAAGCTGTCCTAATGCTCTGGTTGAAACAAGCAGTCATCTCCACCTGGTATTCATCGTTCATCCATCATGTGGGAATATCTAACCCCATCAGGCCCGGGTGCAGTCTTTCACCCTTTTCAGAACATGTTATGCATCTTCCATCTGTATGATGTCTTCATAAGGTTTGTTCTTTAAGATGGCTGCCAGATCTTCTCTAACTGTAACTCTGTTATCTCCATCATTGTGATCTGTTCGTGAAATAAAACTCTTTAGGAAAGCCTCCCCCTTCTCTTCGTCTGTGGTCAATAGCATGCCATCATCTCTAATGAATTGCTCAACTACGCTGGGCCGATCTTTCTTGAGCATCTGCCTATGTAGCCTCCAAAACTTTCCCAAAGTCTTATCCCCTCAAACTCATCAATAAGAGGCTCCCATTTTGCTTTCTTCTTCCTCTGCTGCACAGCGCTTCAAAAACTCTATCCCAACTTTCTTATCTCTTTCTGTGCACTCCAATTCCTCCTGTGAGCTTAGGGCTATCTGTCACGCTTTCTTTAAACGCTTTACTGCAGCTCTCTTTAACTTCTATGCCTGTTCCACCTCTGATGTCCACCATGGAGGCTGCACAAAAGTAGATCTGCCAGTTCTCTTACATGCCCTCTGTCTGAGGCTTCCAAGAAGGGTGTTTATCCACTCATACTTGAAAGACCTGTGAGCGCTTGAAGCCTTGACTTTCCTGGATTTGGAGATCAATACTGAACATGGAAGATGGTCTGATGGTCACTTCCAGAATTGCTCAGGACCGTCCATTTGGTGTCCAGTACCGCTGACTGGGTAACAAAAGCCAGGTCAATAGCTGTGTCTGCTTCGCCGAGCCTCACTGCCATTCTAGTTGGCCTACCATCATTTAAGTAGACAAAGTCTGAAACGACCATGGCGTCAGCAAGGTCAGCAACTCCCTGTTGGTTCTAAAATGGCTATAATAACAACAGAAGAAGAGATAGTTAACAGAGATGCAACCCAAACAATACTCTCAGAACATGGTTCTGGCACTCAGCTAATTCAGTCACATGGAGAGCAGCCAAATTCGTGTGTGAAATTGGAATCATGTTTATCAGGAATTGTTAGACCTTTCCCATGGCATCTGGACAAAGGCACGAGAGTGGCACAGTGGAAGAGCTTGGGGCAGCACTATGTAATATTCCCTAAGTCAGCAATGGATGCACACTTTCCTGCAGCCAACCTCCAGTGTGGAGATGGCATCGAAATACAACATTCTGAGAAATATTACATTGTTGGCACCTTTCTGTCCTTCTAGATGACACTATTGTATGTGGAGGTATGGGACTCACAGCCCATAGTGATGGCCAATGTGACTAGCAAGACCCGCCTGCATTAAGGAAGGTCTTCCACAATTAGAGCATGGCATTTCAGGACCTTTGTTGCCATCATTTGTGTTTAGTGTGATCAGATGCTCAGTTCTCATCCTTCCTTCATTCTCATTCCCCTCCTGATGTGCCCCCTCCATGTGTGTTTAGTGTGATCAGATGCTCAGTTCTCATCCTTCCTTCATTCTCATTCCCCTCCTGATGTGCCCCCTCCATGTGTGTTTAGTGTGATCAGATGCTCAGTTCTCATCCTTCCTTCATTCTCATTCCCCTCCTGATGTGCCCCCTCCATGTAACATGGCCCAGGCATTTTTCCCCATGAGTCCACCTCAATACCTGTTCCATTCATGTACTACTTGTGCACATCTTTACACCGCAGTAGAGGTCGACCTCGAGATCTTCTACTTTTCTGTAATTTACCACAGAGTAATTCACCACAGAGTAATTCACCACAGAGTAATTCACCACAGAGTAATTCACCACAGAGAATGTTCTCAGGAACAAAATATTACATAATTAAAAAAAGATAAAAACAAGAAACTATCAAGTCAGTTTTACCTGAAAGATCACGGTAGTGTACATTAGCCGCAGATTCTATTTCACTGTCAGACGAATGTGGAGACTGATCGCCATCACGATGAGACAAAGGGCCAGCTACGCTGTGTCTCAGCTTTGTTTTTGAATGTTTCTTTAGTCCTGCCTTTCTTGCAGTCTTCATTAATTTTTGTTTGGCAAACTCTCTAGACAAGATAAAGACACAAGGGTACTGCCATTATACTGTAGCTGACATTCAATCTCGACATTTTTCCAGATCTTCAATCTACATAGTTAAGACACTAACTATAAACATGGCAATCGCAAAGGCACCTGATGTGGATTATGATAATATATACATATATATGCGACTAGTGAGGGTGTTGATGCTTCTCCCTAATCTGGGATCTTCAACAGCAGGTATCGTCAGTTCGTGTGCGGATACCATTCCATGATTTGACAAAAAACTGTCAAGAATCATCTCGCAGTATCTTCTGCTGTCTCTTTTTTTCCCCCCCACAGATCTTTAAAGTGGTCAAAAGATGTTCCTGTTTCTTTCTTCTCATGTAGACAGGACCACAAAATTATTACAGTAATCTCCTGATGTTTGCAAAAAGCTGTCTTCTAACCCTCATCTTTATCAAAATGTTTGGGTTGCTCTTCCAGACTTTCCAAAGAAATCTAAGGATTCTTTTGTTAGAACTACACCTCCGAGGCCTCCAGAAATTGTTTGGCTTGTTTACTAATTGTCCAGGATTCTCCGCCATGTGTAGCCAAATGTTAAAACTGGCAATAAACAGCATGCAAGAATTTAGTTTCTCCTCCAGTGATATGGATTTATTGCATAGAATGTTCTTTATCTGATTAAATGTCAATTTAACCTGTCCTATTTTGTTCTTAATGGGTACCAGGATGGGCTGTCCTGGGAAAGTAAAGACAGCCGGCGTAATGCTGACCACATTACCCACAGAGTGCTGATGGTCTGTAAAAATATGGGACGCTCTGCCCATATGCCTGATGCGCCGAAAGGCGTGAAAAGGGAACTTTACTTTACTTATTTTGTTCTTTATCTCTGTTTTACATTTTCTATCAGATTTTATCTATCAACCTGATACACACATTACTTGTCCTAAAATGACATCTTTCACTTTTATTATACATTTTTTTTTTTTTTTAATAATTTTACCACCACTTCTGTCACTACACTGAGGCCCATTTAAACACTTTCTACAATCACCGTTATCTATCAATTCGTAAATCACCTTGCCTCATTAATATCTCACCATCCTTTGATTTTAAACACCCAGTGCTGTTACATGTCTTCTTCCAGGTGAATATATTGATTTATTGGTATGAAATGTTTTTGTTTTTTAGCTCCTTTGAATTTGTTCACTATTCCTTTATATATTATAGAATATTCTTCTTTATCATTCTTTTTGTCTTCTTTCATACATCAACTAGAGAATGGATGTGTCAGAGGAAAAATCTCTAATGACATCTGTTGAACTGACTAGCACAACATACTGCAGCGTTCATCAATAATCTATATTATTCTAAAAGCATTATATTTGTTTTGCAAAGTAACATTGTACTGTTCCTTAATTTCTTTATCCGTCTGAAATATTCCTAAATTTAACTTGATATTAAATGTGGTCTTTGTTATAATCTAATATTTCAATAACTAGAACAAGATCACTTTAGAAATCTGCTCTTCATGTAGTCATGCACACATTCACACACATATATACATACTTGTTTGTTTGTTTGTTTTAGTATCCAGAAGCCATGAGTTGTCAACCTTAGGCTCGGTATTATGGATATTGCAACCTTTTGGCCTTGATTCCATTGTAAATACCGTAAATCTGGGAGAAAATGTGGTTTTCCTGCCTACCCCCGGGATTGAACCAGGACCACAAGGAGTTCGTCACCCGGTCTCCGCGCAATCCGGTTTAGCCAACTACACTAGAGAGCCGGGCATATACATACACACACATACAAGAAAGAAGGAATGGGGGGAAAAACACAGGGGGGGGGGGGGGGGACTGTAAGAGCTGCCTCAAAGCTCTGAATATAAAGCATCAATAAAGCGTTTCTATTTTGTCAACTAACCTCAGAGATATATTATCTTTACTTTTTTGCCGCATTTGTGTGGAAGGTTGGATTGTGTGGCCAGTGAAAGCAAAGGTATGAAATACTGTTGTAGGGTACCGAACTCTGTTCACCAGCTTTGAGAAGGTCTCAATGTTGTCTGCGCTGACCTCTCCATCAAATGCTATCTTCATCAACTGAAATCAAAATCAGGAAAAAAATACTACAGGATTTAAACCTGGCTGATATTAACTCAGTGCAATCAAGCATCACACCTATACATTAACCATTTACATTCGTTAAAACTTGTGTCCCAAGTTGTCACTTCCCAGTAATTCATTGATGGATCAGTAAGGGTTAACTTAATAATTACCTGGGGCAGAGATGAGATTACTTACAAATAGGCCAGGGTACGAGCAGTAGGTTGCAAGACTGGTGCACAGTGGATTAACAGAAGATCTTTTTGCTTGGACAGACTGTCAGACTTCACTTGTGGCTGATAATTTGTTAATGTAGTCATTTTATGTTGTTCATTTGACATTTGTTGCCCCACAGTGGAAAGCTGACAAGCAATGGAACAAACATGCGCTGAGCCATCTGGCTACTTTACTTTGCCCATGTGATCAATACAGCTCCGCTGGTCGCTGCTGCACCCTGATGACTAAGTGAATAATGTTGGACAGTGAAGACGAACGATATCACAGGTCCTTACCTGGAACACGGAGGAGCGCAGCTGCAAACCCTCGTGGAAACCCTGGAGGCCTTGCGGCAAGTAGTGCTGTAGGCTGATCTTCTTCTGCTTGGTCAGGGACGACACAGGGAAACTCCTCATCACAGTCTTCTCACAAGCTACATAGGAAACACACAGCTGAGTCTTCAGACACAACAGTCACAATCAAAGGACTCTCTTACTACTGATCCATCTTTTTGCAGACCAAATGGCATTCAATAGGTGATGTCGTCAACACCACTTCGGTCACCTTTACATCCCAGAAGATTTTCTGGTACCCCTTTTAGGTTGGGTCAATATGGAAATCTAGGTTCATTCTAAAAAAATCGGCCTCGATGCATATAAAAAAATACAACAGCAATATTCATGTGAAAATTAAGTAAGGGAGATAGATGTGGTAGAATAAGTGACAATTAGTGGATACTATCTCACCCCTTTACTTCCTATTTTACTGCTTCATTTTACCACTTTGAGTGTCAAAACAGAGATCTTCTGACTGCTTCAGTTACAGATGCTTGATTGTAGCATTTCTCTGTTGTCATTCCCCCCCCCCCCCCCCCCAGTTCTTGGTATACCTCAGATTCTATAACCTCCCTCTATTCTGGTATATGCCTTGTATGATAGCTTCATTACACTTTTGAGCCAGTTCTCTGTAAGTTAACTGCTTTCAAGATAGCTTCATTACACTTGTGAGCCAGTTCTCTGTAAGTTAACTGCTTTCAAGATAGCTTCATTACACTTGTGAGCCAGTTCTCTGTAAGTTAACTGCTTTCAAGATAGCTCCATTACACTTGTGAGCCAGTTCTCTGTAAGTTAACTGCTTTCAAGATAGCTTCATTACACTTGTGAGCCAGTTCTCTTTAACCCACTGACTACCAACATCGCACGTAATGCGACGAGGCGACGTTTACTTCCTTCTGCCAACGTCACACCCTTTGCGATTTTAGCTTTGGACGCTCGCCGTCATGTTAAAATCGCGATTTTAATGATGGATTTAGTTGAAACCTCTAGCTTATTCATTTTTGTATGGTCAATTAAGGAAATAACTCCGTAGTGCTTGAAGCAAATATTTGACGAATTCTTTTAGTTAGCTCCCATGACGGTGAGACATTGACGAAAAATTCATCATGGCGTCAAATTATCGGAACCATCGTGGTGGCCATATCTCTCCTAATTTTTCTAATGATGCATTCGATTTTCTTGATTTTGCTTCAAAAAGTGCATTTGAAGACACTTCTGAACAGTTTGATGGCTATGACTATAATAAATTTAACGAAGTGCCATTCAAAACATTGTCGACTGTAAAACGACAGTATGACGCTTCGAAGTCGTCTGACAAAGACAGTCACAGTGTTGTCGGCTGAAAGCACTAGTGCTGCAGTTTATGATGCTAATAGTTCTTGTGAGAGTATTCAGTCAAAGCCCACAGATTATAAAGATTTTGTGCTTGAGCCTGCACATGACGAAAATATTATTGCCGCTTTTGATTCAGAATCATCATCATCTAAGGAGTCCGGAGAAGATGTGCCACGCCCCCAAATGGTTGATGACTGGCATTGTGATTTAGAAGGCTTTCCTGGAGTACCCCCATTTACTGGCACTTCTGTTTTATTTCTGCCAGTAGGAACAAATGAACCACTGGATATTTTCTTCAGTAAAGACATACTTGCTGTGTTTGCTAAAGAAACAAACTGTTATGCTGAGACAAAGATTAGTGCTGGAACTGGAAACACACAACCCCAAATGAAGTGACAGGGTTTCTTGTACTGTTGTGTCACATGTGTTGTGAAAAAGCTGTTTATTTCAGACTACCAGAGTTTATATCCATCTCTCCACTCATCATTTGCTGCCACCATCATGTCACGGGGGCGTTTTCTATATATTGCTGTCAGATAACATATTTTTCTGTTGCCTTTTTAGCACTATATCTACAGCCACGTGATGATGATATAAAACAGTAAATCTACATTTGTCTTGATATTTGTTATCTATTTAATTTTGTGCAAACAATATCAGATAGGATAAGTGATACTGAACAGTTGTGAAGCTGTGACATTTTTTGGGAGTCTGAATTATTGTCAGACAAAGGATTTTTCAGTTGCCTTTTTTGCAACAATCTACAGCCACATGATGATGATGATTATGGCAGACAAAGTAAATCCCATTTTTTGTCTTCACATTGTTCTCGGTTCAATTTTGTGCAAAAATACAAAATATTATATATGTTTGTTGAAATTTTTTGAAAAAAAATCATCACTATCAGTCTTTATTGTTGTCAGATAAATGATTTTCAGTTGCCTTTTTTGCAACAATTTACAGCCACATGATGATGATGACTATGTCAGAGTAAACCTTATTGTTTTTTTCTTTAAATGGGTTCTTGGTTTAATTTTGTGCAAAAATACAAAATATTATACATTTTTGTTAAATATTTTTTGAAAATAAGACATTTTTATTTGTCTTTATTGTTGTCAGATAAAAGATTTTCCGGTTGCCTTTTTTGCACCAATCTACAGCCACATGATGATGATGCAAAACAAAATAAACAACTTTTTTTTTCTTGAAATCTGTTCTTCATTCAGTTTGGTGCAAAAATACAAAATATTGTGAGATTATATCAAATAGTTGTGAAGCTATGGCATTTTTAGTAAACACTAAAATACGTGGTATCTGGGGAAATGCAAGGGTTAATGGGCTTGGTAGTCAGTGGGTTAAGTTAACTGCTTTCAAGATAGCTCCATTACACTTTTGAGCCAGTTCTCTGTAAATTAAACACTTTCAAGATAGTTTCATTACACTTTTGAGCCAGTTCTCTGTAAATTAAACGCTTTCAAGATAGTTTCATTACACTTTTGAGCCAGTTCTCTGTAAATTAAACGCTTTCAAGATAGTTTCATTACACTTTTGAGCCAGTTCTCTGTAAATTAAACGCTTTCAAGATAGTTTCATTACACTTTTGAGCCAGTTCTCTGTAAATTAAACGCTTTCAAGATAGTTTCATTACACTTTTGAGCCAGTTCTCTGTAAATTAAACGCTTTCAAGATAGTTTCATTACACTTTTGAGCCAGTTCTCTGTAAATTAAACGCTTTCAAGATAGTTTCATTACACTTTTGAGCCAGTTCTCTGTAAATTAAACGCTTTCAAGATAGTTTCATTACACTTTTGAGCCAGTTCTCTGTAAATTAAACGCTTTCAAGATAGTTTCATTACACTTTTGAGCCAGTTCTCTGTAAATTAAACGCTTTCAAGATAGTTTCATTGCATTCTTCTTAAAAACTACAACTCCATAGCTTCCACATAATATTTCACTAATTCTCTGAGTGTCCTCTTCCATACATCAGAACTGGCTCTATATGGCTAACAAGAACTCTCTATCACACCTCCACTGACATAGGTTGCCATGAATAATCTCTATTCTGCAAAATACTTTTTTGGTACTTAATTTATAACTTACCCCTGACGTCACGACAATGTCACAGGAGACATTCCCAATATATTCTAGGGTGTTCAGGTTGTAGTTTCTCGCGATTTCTCTACAGTAAAGTTTAGGGTTAGGGTTAGGGTTAGGGTTAGGGTTAGAAGACACTAGATGAACACTAAAAAAAAAGCACCACACAACAGCACACTTGCACCCCTTGAAATAATGGACTGTCAGGTCAGCTGTGGAGTTCCCACGGGGATTTCCTGTTTGGGGTACGTTATAAATTAAGAACCACTTTTTTTTCTTGAGTTATTCTACAATAAAATTCATTAACACATTTTCTGTCGGCTGTTCTCACACTACCTAAATATTTTAATGCCTTGACTTGCTTCATACTTATAATATTTACTTTGATTTTGCAGTGTGGAGGAAAATGTTTGTGTGTAATCAGCCGTACTTAGTTATGCCATGTTCAAACGAAGACCTGTGGCCACCCACAAGTCTAGGGTCCAGGTGAGGAGAGTGATATGTGACAGTACACAAACCTAGAGTCAATGGAACCTCACCAAACTGGCACTCAACACATCATCCAATCTCTTTGAAAGAAACAAGGAGAGGATGCGAGCTGGCTCCTGACATGAGATGACTTGAACACTGCTTCCACAATGGAACATAAAACCAATATAAACAACATTAATATGGAACAAAAACAGAATATTACTGCACAAATTACCAAAAGGATCACAAGGTATGCCTCTGAATATAATTCTGTAGGTGGTTAGAAAGACTGCACCCTCTGACGGCAACAAGCTAGGGCCTCCAATGTTGCCTCCAGCTCCCTCTTCTCGTCCATCTGGCAACAGATATGCCCTCAGACCCTCCATCACAATTTCCTCCCCTGGCAGTAGCAAGGGCTGCAGAATCCTGGGCTGTGAACATCAGACATTAGCACATTACACAGCGTGGACAGGAACTGGGCAGACTTCTATGAAATTTCAGTATTTCTTACTACACCAGCAACTAATACTGAAGAATTAACCTCTGCTAAAGTTGCATAAATCTCTGCTAAAGCTGCATAAATCTCTGCTAAAGTTGCATAAATCTCTGCTAAAGCTGCATAAATCTCTGCTAAAGTTGCATAAATCTCTGCTAAAGTTGCATAAATCTCTGCTAAAGCTGCATAAATCTCTGCTAAAGTTGCATAAATCTCTGCTAAAGCTGCATAAATCTCTGCTAAAGTTGCATAAATCTCTGCTAAAGTTGCATAAATCTCTGCTAAAGCTGCATAAATCTCTGCTAAAGTTGCATAAATCTCTGCTAATGTAGCATATAAAAATTACCTATCCCGAGATTAAAAGACTGAGATTACTCTAAGCAATTGTTCTGAAAAGTCTGCCCTCAAATGGATTTGAGACCAGCATTTGTTAAGTAAGAGATTGAAACCAGGCTTCTAAGCCATTCTAACTCCCATCTGGAGTGTAATTAAATCAGAAATAGTGTGTGTTTCAATGCCCCATTGGGAGGGGGGGGGGAGAGACCCACGGCACCCCTGACAAGAAGGTGACTAATTAGGGATGTTTTATTTGAAGTCAGAGTATCAGTTCGAAAAGCCAAGAACCAACAGTCTACACACAAAGAAGCCATATCTGTACAACTGATGTGTATATAAAACTCAAGTGAATGAACACCCAGAAAAATTCACCAAAGTTAACAGCTGGTGAACACCAGCATAAGACAATCCCAATCAGCACAAAGAGACATTCAAAGCATATTTATTCCAACTCTGTGCTACCAGTGCCAAACATGGTCACTCACAACAAACCATAAAAGAAAATTAGTAACCATGGAAATGAGATGTCTGAGAAAGGCTGTAGGAGTGACCATAAGAAATCAGATCAGGAATGAGATCATAAAAGAACAAGTCGGCACAGAACCAATTCTAAATTACATACGAAGACAGCAAGTGAAATGGTTTGCCCACTTAGAGAGAATGCCTTGTGACACCATACCATACAAAGCATACATGGAAAGGGAAGAAGGACGCTAGAGCAGAAGGTAGACCAAGAACAAGATGGAAGGATAACATCAGAGAAACTCTACAACAGCACGATGTGCCTATGATCGAGGCGGCCAGAACAGCTAGAAACAGAACCTTATATCTCCCTCGACACCCACAGCGGTAAAAGAGGAAGTGAAGAAGAAGAAGAAGAAGACCAAGAATATGAAGAAATAGGAAATCTGATATTCTAGCTGCGGAGGTATCTGTCACTGAAACCAGAGGCACTGAAGGAATATACTTGAGGCTATTAATGATGCTGCAGGAGTTGCCATGGCCGAGCGGCTAGACGCTCGCCGTGGATCGGAAGGTCATGGGTTTTGCTCCCTGGCGGAGCCGGACTTTTTTCAAAAATGACCTTGGCTCCCTTGTCGATCCAGCCTTGAGTGGGTACCGGGTGCAGTCCCGGGAAAGTGAAGGTGGCCAGCATGATACTGACCACATCACCCATCTTGTGCCAATTGGTTTATATAAATATAGGTCTAGCCCTATATGCCCTATACGCCTCAAAGCGTGGAAACAGGTCTTTTACTTTTTTTTATTATTATTAATGATGCTGGGTGCATGGTGACAAGTTTCTTGTGTATTATGTTTTTTAAAATGATTACAACTGTTCGTTTGATGGATTTTCTAATCTCATATATTGTTTCTAGAGCAGATTTTTGTGAACTCTTAAATCCACTGCCGATTTGCTGGACCTGACACAGATTCATCCTTAAGAGAACACTGGAAAACACGTAAATCACATCGAGAACACTGAAAAATTACACATCCGTTGAATAACACACACTGTTTACGTCGCCATCTTTTTATATACTTCTTTTTTATATATACATCTTTTTTTTCGTGCCTAAAACAAGTGCAAGAATTTAAATACTTGGGAAGTATCTTTACATTCAATGGTAAAATAGACAGAGAGATCGAAGCAAGAATCCAACAAGCCAACAATGTCGCATACCAGCTTGCCCCAATTTTAAAACACCCTGCTGTCCCAGCTGAGATAAAAAGACAAATTATAAATACAATCTTTATACCGACATTAGGTTATCAATGTCAGACTTGGACATTAACAAAAGAACACGAGAGAAGACTAACCACCTGTGAAATGAGAAGTTTGAGAATGGCTGCGAATAAAACCAGAAGAGATCGAGTGAGAAACGATGTGATTACAAGAACTATTGGAACCATACCCATCGTTAAATTTATTGAGAAGCAAAGAATGAAATGGTTTGGTCACCTAATGAGAATGAAACCAACGATGCCAGCATCAAGAGCATACAACATGAAAATCGAAACACCAAGAGGCAGGGGAAAACCAAGAAGAAGATGGATTGAAGGAGTCACGGACAATTTGAGACTTCATCACGGCATATGAAGCGACTGAGCGCGCCCTGGCTCGGTTGCCGATCATCTGATAGACTGCGACGCCTAGCGGCACAAGCAGATTTTGACAAAAGAAGAAGAAGAAGACTGCTGTTCGTTATGAAACCTGCCACAATGACCACAGATATGTGTGATGACCCTGCTTTGCATGGTCTCCACGAGGACATGGTGGCAAGCAGAAAGTCTGTGCTACTAGTGACGGCACGAGATACTTGTGGCTAGTCGAGTAAGCGAGGGGAAGCCCGAGCTAGACTCGTGGTCAGTTGATCAACAGAAGTCGTGGAAGACGGTTGCATTTAGTTGAAGATGTAGTCTTTATGTCACGAGAATATCTAGTGTTTGAATATGTCGCGAGCGATAGAAGTCTGAATAATTGTTGAAACATGTGGAATAAATGTAACTGAATAAACTGACAGCATGTACAAAGAAGCTGAGTGGCGTTGTGTTGTTAAACCTAGACGTGAGAGCAGTGTGAATTAATCATCCAGAGAGTGAGCCATGGCGAGAGGAGATTTGTCGTAAGACAAGGTGCACGTCGAGTGACGTCGGCCTAAACAAGGTTCATTCCAAGTCAAGTCAAGGTTCATTCCAATATGTGTGGTTCAAATATGTGGCTACCTAACTCATGACAGGAATAATCAGAATCCACATTATATAAACTTCTGCTCGGAGAGACCAAACACTTCTGGTCTTGTCCTGAGTGTAGTGACATACATTCCTCATCATAAAATAATATATAATTACAGGAATTGGAGTCTGGAAATATGTTAGTTTATTGGAGAGTGCACTAGACCCCGATTAGAGCAGTTTGAGTTCAATCCCCACTTGAAGGTGAGTCTTGTGTTAAGTGTGTATGGCTCTAGGGTTTTAACAGGTTCTACACAATGTTTTCTATACAATTCTCTAAGAAGGAAAGCAGCAGTGAAGACAAGAAGTGAAGATCTACATAATGGTCTACATAATGATCTACATAATGGTCTACATAATGATCTACATAATGGTCTGCATAATGATCTGCATAATGGTCTACATAATGATCTACATAATGGTCTACATAATGGTCTACATAATGGTCTACATAATGATCTACATAATGGCAACATAGAAAATTTGAATTAACAAAACCTGATAATATCATTCGAAGTTCTATGTAAATAAACCCACAGAGCTAAAGAAAAAACTAAAAGGGAAATAAAAACTAATTGAGAAAGGTGAATAAGATGGGGAAGAAATGAAACGGGTGGCACCCACTGGCAAATGATACAACTTGGAATTTAATGGTGAAGGGTTTATGCTCCAATGGGGCTTTAAGGCCTCAAAAATAACAGTACATGTACATGTTGTACACAATCCATAACATGAAATGTGGTGGTTTACCTTCTTTTCACACTACATTCTTTTCTCACTACCTTCTTTCCCCACTACCTTCTTTTCTCACTACCTTCTTTCCCCACTACCTTCTTTCTCACTACCTTCTTTTCTCAATACCTTCTTTCCCCACTACGTTCTTTTCCCACTACCTTCTTTTCACACTACCTTCTTTCCCCACTACATTCTTTCCCCACTACATTCTTTTCTCACTACCTTCTTTCCCCACTACCTTCTTTCCCCACTACCTTCTTTCCCCACTACCTTCTTTCCCCACTACCTTCTTTCCCCACTACCTTCTTTTCTCACTACATTCTTTCCCCACTACATTCTTTCCCCACTACCTTCTTTTCTCACTACCTTCTTTTCACACTACCTTCTTTCCCCACTACCTTCTTTCCCCACTACCTTCTTTACCCACTACCTTCTTTCCCCACTACCTTCTTTCCCCACTACCTTCTTTCCCCACTACCTTCTTTTCTCACTACCTTCTTTTCACACTACCTTCTTTCCCCACTACCTTCTTTTTACACTACCTTCTTTTCACACTACCTTCTTTCCCCACTACCTTCTTTTCTCACTACCTTCTTTTCACACTACCTTCTTTTCACACTACCTTCTTTCCCCACTACCTTCTTTTCTCACTACCTTCTTTTCACACTACCTTCTTTCCCCACTACCTTCTTTCCCCACTACCTTCTTTCCCCACTACCTTCTTTCCCCACTACCTTCTTTCCCCACTACCTTCTTTTCTCACTACCTTCTTTTCTCACTACCTTCTTTTCCCCACTACTTTCTTTTCTCACTACTTTCTTTTCTCACTACCTTCTTTTCACACTACCTTCTTTCCCCACTACCTTCTTTTCTCACTACCTTCTTTTCACACTACCTTCTTTCCCCACTACCTTCTTTTTACACTACCTTCTTTTCACACTACCTTCTTTCCCCACTACCTTCTTTTCTCACTACCTTCTTTTCACACTACCTTCTTTTCACACTACCTTCTTTCCCCACTACCTTCTTTTCTCACTACCTTCTTTTCACACTACCTTCTTTCCCCACTACCTTCTTTCCCCACTACCTTCTTTCCCCACTACCTTCTTTCCCCACTACCTTCTTTTCTCACTACCTTCTTTTCTCACTACCTTCTTTTCCCCACTACTTTCTTTTCTCACTACTTTCTTTTCTCACTACCTTCTTTTCACACTACCTTCTTTCCCCACTACCTTCTTTTCACACTACCTTCTTTCCCCACTACCTTCTTTCCCCACTACCTTCTTTCCCCACTACCTTCTTTCCCCACTACCTTCTTTTCTCACTACCTTCTTTTCTCACTACCTTCTTTTCCCCACTACTTTCTTTTCTCACTACTTTCTTTTCTCACTACCTTCTTTTCACACTACCTTCTTTCCCCACTACCTTCTTTTCTCACTACCTTCTTTTCACACTACCTTCTTTCCCCACTACCTTCTTTTTACACTACCTTCTTTTCACACTACCTTCTTTCCCCACTACCTTCTTTTCTCACTACCTTCTTTTCACACTACCTTCTTTTCACACTACCTTCTTTCCCCACTACCTTCTTTTCTCACTACCTTCTTTTCACACTACCTTCTTTCCCCACTACCTTCTTTCCCCACTACCTTCTTTCCCCACTACCTTCTTTCCCCACTACCTTCTTTCCCCACTACCTTCTTTCCCCACTACCTTCTTTTCTCACTACCTTCTTTTCTCACTACCTTCTTTTCACACTACCTTCTTTTCACACTACCTTCTTTTCCCACTACCTTCTTTTAACACTACCTTCTTTCCCCACTACCTTCTTTCCCCACTACCTTCATTTCACACTACCTTCTTTTCACACAAATAAGAGCTGATGAAAATCAGTTTTCTTACCTTCTGCACTGGTGGTAGCTGTTTGCTTTCTCTGTTTACCCCCTCCAGAGTTTCAATGTGCATAGCCACAATACCTGGGGTAATAGAATACAATCTGATTTCATTTGTTCCAGCATACACTATTCATGGACAAAGTCTTGTCAATGCAAATTTGTCCAAACATTGCTCATTCAATTGACAACAAGCAGTCAATTCGATCCAAACACTGCTCACATGTAACTTGCTGTCAACCCATCCTTTTCAAACATTATGTTCACATGGCAGTCAACCCATTCTCTTGGCAAACACTGTTCACAGGCAACATGTAGTCAACTCTTTCTGCCCAAACACTGTTCACAGGCAACATGTAGTCAACTCTTTCTGCCCAAACACTGTTCACAGGCAACATGTAGTCAACTCTTTCTGCCCAAACACTGTTCACAGGCAACATGTAGTCAACTCTTTCTGCACAACAACTGTTCACAGGCAACATGTAGTCAACTCTTTCTGCCCAAACACTGTTCACAGGCAACATGTAGTCAACTCTTTTTGCCCAAACACTGTTCACAGGCAACATGTAGTCAACTCTTTCTGTCCAAACACTGTTCACAGGCAACATGTAGTCATCCATTTCTGTAATAACATTACTTGCATTACTTTTTCTGTCCAGACATTACTCACAGGCAACCTGTGGTCAACTATTTCTGTCCAAACATTTCTTACACGAAACATGTAGTTAACTATTTCTGTCCAAACATTTCTTAAGGGCATCATGTAATCAACTATTTCTAACTAAATATTGCTCACATGTAGGTAACATGTGGTCAACTATTTCCTACATGCCACCTTGCCTCTAGTAAATCTGTAATAGCTTGAGACCAGAAAAAGTAGGCTATCTCTAGCAACATTTCACAAATGAGAAAACATATCAATCCCAAATATTGGTACAAGTCATGTTTTGGTCCACATAAAGAGAGTGACTTTCTTTCCCAGTCATGCCTCATCTGGTTGCAGGGCCTCTACTATGCTGCCTGGGTATTATTATGACCATTCCAAAACTGTAACATTTCCTTTTCTTCTTCCATTTATCTCACAATGAAGCATAGACCATCAACCAACTCACACCAAGTTGTTACCAAGTACAGCTGACCCCTTGTCTCCGCTTTTTTTTTTTTTTTACCTCTCAGTTCTCTTCTCTACGTTTTTATTTGCTTGATTTGGTGTTCCTTAATGATTTGGGCCTGTGAGTTCAAATGGAGGGCTATTTTTTTTGTTAATGTTTTCTGAGTATGTGTCCTGTTCTCAACTTACAGTTTACCAGGTTTGAGGTTTCAACAACGGATCAACATCATGGCTCACGGGTAGTAACCCATAAGTGCTCCATTTTTCTTCTAACTCATGTCAGAGTTCGAAGAAGCTCAGCACAGTGCACAGGCTCTGTAGCACCGGCGGGGATACTGAAATACTTTAGGTAGAATTTTAACTCCAAATTTTGCGCGGGCAGCACTGCTGGGCTACTCTTTCCGCTTTCCAACTGCCAAAGAATTTTTTTTACCTGCGCAACGATGCACACTGGCATCTGATATCACTACACAGTTGTTGTTGTTGTTGTTATTGATCCAGCGGCGCATGAGCTTTCACCCTTTGGCCCAATGCCATGTAGTGGAATTTACATGTTTTCACAAGCTGTTATTTTCTTCCGTACAAGGTGTTCCACCTGTCTGGTCTCGGCTGGAGTAGCATTCTTCTAGTCTCGTTGAGTTTTGGGCACTCAAAGAGATGATGGTCAACAGTTTTGTAGGGGTAGTTAAATAGCTGGCACTCTGGGGAGTGTTGTGGCTGTATTCTGTTTAGGTGTCCATTGAGTGGAGTATGTGTTCTGAGTCTGAAGATGGTGGCCTGGTCCCTTCTTGTTAAATGGTTAATGCTGTCATTAGGATCAGGGCCAGCCATGTATCTATAAACCTCTCTTCCAGTATCTTCCATGGCCCATCTGTTCAACCAAGTCTCTCTGTTTATAGCTTTTATAAGTGTTTTTGCTGTCTGTAGGGTTGTCGCTGTAGTTGTGTTCTTGTGTTGCTCCTTTCTTTGCCAGTCTGTCAGCTCTGTCATTACCTGGTGTGCCAGAGTGGCCTGGAATCCACTTCATCACTATTCTGATGTTGTATAAGGTAATGAGCTGATCAGCATCTAGCGTCTGATATCACTACCCAGAGACCAGGGGGAATTACTAGAAGTCCAAGTCCACGTTTAAAAAATCCCAGCCCTTACTGGGGATTGAACCCGGAACCTCTATCACTCGAGGCAGACACCATGCCTTGAGATCACGCAGCCCCCAGTATCTTTCTGAAGACGCATTCAACCTTCAAATAGGTTAGGCTGAAGCTGAGAGTATGTTGCAACAAGGTATACAACTCTAGCTTAACTAGATTATACATTCATGAACGACTCGTATCCCTTGTTTCTATGTCTTTTCTATTCACAACCGTCTGTCTCGTGTACAACAGTTTACCAAAGGGATCACAAGGCATGCCTCTGAAAATAATTCTGTAGGTAGATGGAAAGACTGCACACTCCGATGGCCTTTTCTTCACCACTTTTTTTAATGGAATTTGTTTAGTTTTCTGCTGAAGCGCAGCATTAATGATTCTCCGAAACCATTTGAGAAACCATACGGCACAAGGAAAACACATGACAATATTTATTGTTCACACTATTCAGAGCTGCCAGAATGGGTGTTTGAGAGAAGAATCCTACCAGGTATTAGCTGTTGCAGGGACTTGAAGTGGGCCTCGGTTACACTCGCCTCGCTGCACACTTTGTCCACAAATCGAGACACAAACTTGGTGACTATGGCAGCAACATCTGCATGCTCAGTCTCATCAAAACCACTCTCAGCATCAAAGCTGTCGCTTTCTGCTACACTGGAGATAGATGTTTACGTGAACAATTAATTCAAACTGTTTCTGGAGTTGAGAAAAACAATTTGCTGTGCAGTTAATGTGAAATCTTCTATGAAGAGTCAATGTGAAATGTAGTCGAAGTCAAAGTTACCACATGAGTAAACATTCAATGTTAAATTTGAACAAAGTTAAGTGTGAATAGTAAATGTGAAGTGTGAAAAGTCAATGTGATGTGTAAACAGTGAATGTGATGTGTAAACAGTGAATGTGAAGTGTCAAGAGTCAATTGAAGTGTGAACAGTCAATGTGATGTGTAAACAGTGAATGTGAAGTGTCAAGAGTCAATTGAAGTGTGAACAGTCAATGTGATGTGAAAATAGTCAATGTGAAGTGTAGACAATGTGAAGCATAAACAATCAATGTGAAGTCTGAACAGTCAATGTGAGGTGTTATCAGTCAGTATGTAGAGTGAACAGTCAATGTGAAGTGTGAACAGTCAATGTGAAGTGTGAATAGTCAATGTTATTTGTGAACAGTCAATGTGATTTGTAAACAATCAGTGTAAAGTGTAAACAGGCAATGTTAAGGGGCATTTTGATTAGTAAACAGGCAATGTGAAGTGTAAAACGGCAATGTGAAGAGTGTACAGGCAATGTGAAGAGTGTACAGTCAATGTGAAGTGTAAACAGAAAATATGAAGCGTGAAGAGTCAATTTGAAATGTGAACAGTCAATGTCAAATGTAGTTTGAGTCATTACTGCCGATAATTTCTAATATAGATGTCCCTGCACCTCATGATGCTAAACCGTTTCATATCTCTCTTGGTCTTCCCCAGCATCTCTTTCTCTTTACTTTTCTAACTGTTAAAAAAATTACTAAATTTTTCTGTTTCTCTTGATGTTCCTATGGAATGTCAACTGTCTGTTTCTGATGCAGGTGTGATGGTCAGAAATTCTGACTACAGAAACACTCACCTGGGTGTCACTATGCTGCTGTTCTCTTCCATGCTGATATTTTTGAAAGACCTGAAAACATCTAAAGGAACTCTGAGGTAAACCATCCTGTAGGCATAATGAATGGCCTGGCTGTATACAGTGGACTCCTCGTTGTTGATCATCTCTTGCTGCTCCTCGGGGGACAATGAGGCCCAGACTCTCAACTGTGGATATCAAATACACTGCTAGGAATCATGGTGGCTTCGAGTAAATGGTTGTGAACTCACTAAACCCTTGCTGTTAAGACAACTGCATGCTCTCTTCAGGATGTCACTAACCAACCCCCAGGACCTATTGGTTGTTGTGCTTGTGTGATTTTGGTGTGGTAATTACTAGGTAATTTTACTTGCAGTTGTTTGCCATTGCTTTCTGAACAATATGATGTTCACACCATTGTCAAAATAAGTACAAAGACGTCTGCCACCACTACAGAAATGGCTGCAGCTGACAGTGAACCTCTGTGCACCGATCCTATCAAAATGATGTAGCTCAATACTTGTGATATAAAATGACCTGAACATAATCTCACAAAGTGTTTTGGCAGGTATACAGGGTTCGTAGACAAATTCACCAACATTTTTCAAGGGTTTTAAAGGGTTTTTACAAGGTATTTTTGTTTTGTTCAAGGATGTACTGGGCATATGCGGTACTTTTCTCGTGAGTACACGTGTGGATATATGCTCACTGCTAAAGTGTTCTTACACTTGTTATAGACCTGGCAGAGGGGAGCAAACTAAAGTCCTATCTAGTTTAGACCTGGTACCTGAGGGACAGAGAAGCAGTCATACAGAGACGGAGGAAGACAGATGATGAGGGATAGTGGAAGAGAAAGAGTGATAGACACAGACAGGGACAAATACAGAAAGAGGAACAGGCAGGTGGAGAGATGGGCAGATGAAGAGAGGAAGAAGAAGGGAAAGAAACAGAAAGAGGGAGTAAGGAAAATATGATAAACAGAGTTAGATGGGAGGGAGGAAGACATAGTAAGAGAGTAGGGAAAGGCACAGAGGGAGATGCAAGCAGAGAGAGAGAGAGGTGTAGACGGACAGGAGGGAGAGACAGAGGGACAGCATAGAGAGGCAAACATACAGAGAAAAAAAAGAGAGAGAGAAAGGCAAAGCTAGAAAATAGGAGGGAGGTATACAGAAAGGAAGTGATGGAGAGGGGCAGATAAACATAAAGCAAGAGAGAGAGAGAGAAGAGAGAGAGAGATAGGGGAAGAGGAAAGCAGTGACAACAGATAAGGGTGGACAGAGAGTAAAAATATGCCAGAATTGCCAACAAATATAACAAAACATTAAAGGAAAAACCATCAGCCTCACGCTGAAACCCCACACACCCCCCAACCATAACAATTTCTTGTGTACTGGACATAACCATTAGGAAAAGACAGTTATAGGACAGCAAATATAGTAAACAATGGGAAAAAAGGGGGGATGAGAGTGAGAAGTTAGAAGCATATCCTCTCCAGGACTTTGAATCAACACCAGCATTTTTTGGCTGTTGTGGTTTTTCTAGGTAAATTTTACATTCAGTAGTTTGCCACTGCTCTCTGAATGGTAGCTCTCGGTACCACTGTCAGAACCAACACAACGTCTAAGCCACAGACACAGGTGAGAGAGAAAAGAGCATAAGGAAATATACAGAAAGAAGACAAGGGGCAGGAAGGTGAGCAAGAGAGAACAGTAAGGAAAGGAAGAGAGGAAGGATGGACAAAGAGAGAAAGGAGAAGAGAGGGACAGAATAGATCAAACGAAAGAAAAGAGGTGAGATAAGAGAAGGAAGCCATGGTGGTAGTTGGGGGGGGGGGGGGGGGGGGGAGGGGTTAGAACACTGAGCACCAAAACCATAGAGTAGAAGAATGAGAGGGAAAGAGAGAGAGGAGGAGAGGAGGTAAGAGAAAACAATATATACTAGGGGGAGAAAGAAAGGATAGAAAGAAGAAGAGAGATACAGGGGGAAGAAGGTAGCAGGAAGGGGGTGTGGGCCACCATGGGTGTCATCACTGTGTGTGTGTGTGTGTGTGTGTGTGTGTGTGGGGATGTGGCCACCTTGGATGTCACCACCATGTGGGGAGGGTCCAGCCAACCTGGGTTTTATCATAAAGGGGTGTGGGACATAACGGGGTGTGGGAGTGGCAAATTTGTTTTTAAAATTATACACACATTAAATGCAAAAAATCCGACTGCCGAAAATCCCACAAAATTCTCTTTTTGTTACCCCCGCAAAGTTTTTCTTTTGTTACTCATGTCCAGGTTACGGTGTGTAAAGTTCAAGGATTGATGGGTAAAGCGACAGTAAGACACTGGTATGAACAGAATGAGTGTAGTCAATGACAGCTAATGCATTTCTTGGGACAGAAAGAGTTCAAATGGAGGGAATTCCTGAGAAATGGAAGACAGGGCAAGTATATGGAGAAGATCCAGTGATTTGGCTCGCTGTAGACTAAACAATAAAATGAACCTGTTCTGCTGTTATCTCCAAGGGACCAATCTTCTTCTTTGGCCTCAGTGATGAAGATGTGCCACAGCTCACAGTGTCGTTGAAGTCCTCAGTGCTGTCCGTGGACTTGGACATCAGCAACATGTGTTCCTCATACTGTCAACACAGACAACATGTTTCTCATGGTGTGGACACAAACAACAACATATGTTTCTCACAGTGTCGACACAGACAACAACATATATTTCTCACAGTGTCAACATAAACAACAACATATGTTTCTCATGGTGTCAACACAAACAACAACATATGTTTCTTATAGTGTCAACATAGACAACAAGATATGTTTCTCACAGTGTCAACACAAACTACAAGATATGTTTCTCATAGTGTCAACACAAACAACAACATATGTTCCTTACAGTGTCAACACAAACAACAACATATGTTTCTAACAGTGTCAACACAAACAACAACATATGTTTCCCATAGTGTCAACAGAGACAACAACATATGTTTTTTATAGTGTCAACACAGATAACAACATTTGTTTCTTATAGTGTCAACACAGACAACAATATATGTTTCTAACAGTGTCAACACAGACAATAACACATGTTCCACATAGTGTCAACACAGACAACAACATATGTTTCTCAAAGTGTCGACACAGACAACAACATATATTTCTTACAGTGTCGACACAGACAACAACATATGTTTCTCATAGTGTCAACACAAACAACAACATATGTTTCTCACAGTGTCAACACAGACAACAACATGTTTCTCATCGTGTCAACACAGAAAAGAATGTTGCAACATATATTTCTCATAGTATTAACATAGACAATAACATATGTTACTCATAGTGTCAACACAGACAACAAAATATGTTTCTCATAGTGTCAACACAGACAACAACATATGTTTTTCATAGTATCAACATGGCCAAGAATGTTACATGTTTCTCATAGTATCAACACTGACAAGAATGTTACATCAATGTTTCGGTTAGTAACAAAACAGACAAGAATGTTACGACACATTTTTCTCATAGTATCAACACAGACAAGAATGTTACAACATATTTATTTTTAATCATAGTCTCAATACAGACAAGCATATTGCAGTCAATGCATGTAATAGGTCAAATAAAAGAAAAGCTAAGGGTAATCATAGACACTGCCAGTAGACGCGTAATATGTTTACCTCTCACATTATTTAAGCCAAGAAAATAGGAGTAAACGAACAAACTTTAGTCTTAAAGTAAAGGGTCACAAATTGGGTACACAGGCCTGTCTTATATTTGGCCCTTCCAGACACCTATCTTTAACACAGAAATTGTATTTTATCTGTAAAGCATGTAATGTTAATATAACAATATAATTAATATGAACACTACAGTCGAGTTGGTATAAATGAATTCACTGACATAAAATATGACTAGGAAGCCCCAGTGGCAGAAAAAACAAACAGAAACAATAGAACATTTCAGCTGAAGCCTTTAGCGATGAATAACACAACAAGATGAAAAGAAATCCTAGACACCAGCTTTAACATGGGGAGTCATGTGGATAACTAACATAATATAAACTGCTGTGCAGAATATAACAGCCTCATTTGGAAGTCGTGTGAATAACTGTAAGAAAAAATAATTAGCTGTGCAGAATATAACAGCCACAACATAGGGAAGTCATGGGTGATGGGCCTAGCAAGCTGACAGTTGTGTGAATACTGCTACTTCACAAGAAACATTGAATTTTTATAGGACAGACTCACCCTCACCGACCAGCAACATTCACCCAAGAAGCACAAAACAAATATAGCAAACCACGACAGTGGGCTTCAACCTGGTATCAGTGAGACTGTCGAGGGATTTATTAATATGAACGACATCCACACTGATCCTCAGTTTTTCACTCTTTTCAGATGATGACGATTGACTACTTAGGATCAGATTTCTCTCATTTTCATTTTACAATAAAATCAACACAGCCTACACTGTGAATGAAACCATTTCTGATCGAGCTTGAGCCTGAAATTCTAATATCCAAGCCACTCAGCTCCTAAGACAATATCATATGATCATTTGCAGAAGGAAAATAATAATTTGATCACTATACCCAACACAAAAGGAACACGTCTCAAAAGAGGCTGCTCTTGGATGGCAAAGGCTGAGGATTTAATCCAGCAGGTATGTGTCCTAGACGTGATCAGTCACGAAAAAGAATGGACGAATACACCAGTAGACATGCATGGCATCTCTAAGGTTGTCATCACACTCGGAAGGTACTGCAGGGATCAAATTCCTGCGGCCGTAGACACAAAAGTAAGGGAACTGATAGATCAGCATTCAGACCCAGAAGATATCATCATCTACACAGATGGATCCGTGAAGCGCGGATCAAGGTCAGCATGGGCATACACAGCGCAAAGAAGGGGGAAAACAATACATGAGGTCAGCGGCGCTTTCCAGACAACCATGTCAAGCATGACTGTGGAAATAGCCGCTGCTTCTAGATCTTTAGCATGGGTATCCAAGCAAACCGCCACACAGGTAGTTATTGTCTCAGAATCAATGAATATGCTTCAGAAGATAGCAACAGGCAGTATGCGCTCTGAATGGATAGAAAGCATTCGGAAATCGCACTTAACCTCAGTAACCTGGATCAACACACCGGGTCATGCGGGCTTAAAGGGAAATGAGCGAGTGGACCAACTGGCAAGCACTGCACTAATGATTGCGGGAAAAAGTATGGACAGAGCAGATATCGTTAACGCTGTACGGACTGGGCTAGTGGATAATGAGGAATCCCTGACACTAACACGACTGCGTGACATGGGAGTTAAGCATGGTGAAGCACATCTTTGCCGTCTTCGAGGCAGAGATAGGAGACAATATAACCAGCTTCTCATGGGGACAATTAGTAGAAGTACTTTAGAGTGGCTGCTGCTTCGGAGGACTGAGCACGCATGGGTATGCCCAATGTGCAGTGATGTTGATTGTAATAACAAAACATAAAATAACATCTTGTAGGGAGTCGGCAGTCCTAAACCCAAGTTCAAGGTGTCTCCTTCATGCCAAAGAACTGCATGGCTGTTAGGTGAACAGTCGTTAACGATGGCAGGCAGGTCGTTGTAGGGGCGACGCCTGCTGGTGGATATAATGTCCTAAGTCCCTTCTCCAGTAAATAATGAGGACCGTTTGTTAACCCTCACATATGCTTCAGGTCAAAATGGACGCTAGGCACGGCCCCTTTTAGCCGTGGCAAAGTTTTTTTTTTGGGTGCTTCTGCCAGACGGTGGCCGTTGCATTTTTGTTCCATTTGTAGACTGAAGGTTATAGTTTCATCGCTCAGCTTCTGAGTTGAGTGCATGGCGTGACACTGTGAGCTGCGTGTGTTTTTTGTTGGCCCAGGAGTGGAGCAACTATGGTGTGACCCATTTGCTATGAAGCTGAAACTAGCATTACCAGATTACTAGATTGCCTATAATTGCCATCTTTATCTGCAGTACTTGTTCTGAAAAGGTCTCTTCCCTAAGACAACGACACACCCCTTGACATTAAACAAAACCTACCATTGGCAAGTAGAGCTGATGTATTTGTGACTGGACATCTTGATAAAATGACTGCTCCCAAAACTGCTGATTCTCCCACACGGCGTGCTCTTGGATGAGTGTGTAGGCAAACTGGATCACTCCCTGGCACAGTTTCTGTTGAAAGACATGAACAATGTTACACGCAGGTGACATCTGTCCGTGACCCTTACAGCTTGATGACAGAAACCTGGCAGGTGTCCTTGACATTCCACAAACCCTCTTTAGCTGACCATTACAAACCTTATACAGTAAAGTCGACATACTCAGAAAGTATCTGGTTGTTTTATTTCAAAAAGCTATTTTTAAAATGGCAGCAGTCAAGCTGTGAAACATCTTTGGGAAAAAATACAGAGAATTATAAAAACTACGTGTCTCAGATGATCAAAGGTTCAAATTTCAGTGGAGACAAATTTTTTTAATTAACCTGGAATCCCAAATCAATCTAGGAAGTGTTCTGGGAAGCCAAGAAGGTCGGTGTGATACTGACCACATAAACCCCTCAGTGTGACCAGGGCTAGCACCATCATATCCAGTATGCTTCAAGGCACTTGTCCCTACAAGCTGACAGCTGTTAACTGAGAATGCTGCAGACTGACAACAGTTCAACACTGAACTATACACTGACAGTACTATGATACATGAAACAGTCAAGAGGAATCAACTGAGTAGAAGAGCCAGCTACCAAGGTAACACTGGGTGTAGTCAGATTCAAGTAAAACCACACATTTTACTACACCAGTGCATAGGGCATATGATGCTAGACTCATATTTCTATAGACCAATCAGAACTTGGTGGGTGTGGTCAAAATAACACCAGGTGCCTTCATATGTCAGGACATTACCTGGTACCTATTTTAGGCTGTGTCGACCTGACAGCGGAGGTCACTTTTGAAAATGAAATTGAACTTGATGTAGACTTAACTTGAGATTTGACTGAGTGACTGACTTTCTACCACACTAGGACATCACACAAGCGATAAACACCCGATGACACAAAGTGCCACCATGTGGATGAGGATCGCCGTGGAGAGGTCCCAGAAACCGTGTTCAGACAATTGGCCATATTTATGGCCTGCCTATATTGCGGCCCCTGGCAAAAGCCAGAGTAGGGCTTCAAATAAAGAAAAATTTCATCCTAAAAAGGATGTGGAGGTTTTGAACTTGAGATTTTCAAATATAACTGTTTTATATGATCAAACAGGCTGTCTGTTGCACTGGCAATTGAAATAAGGCTCTGTGAATCACTGGATGTCAAGCCTTCAGGTTGCAGTCATGGAAAGGGAAATATAAAGAACAACAACAAACTACAAGTATATAAAATGCTTCACGAAAGCTACATGACCCTACAATGGAAGATTTACACTAAAATAAATACAAACAACATAAACACAATACTTGCTCTATAAAATGCTGTGGCCAATGGCAACACTGCTGCAGCAACTCCATTCTCATCAAGACTGGAATCATTCTGTGATGATAGAAATGACTGATATTGAAGCACACCAGAGGATGAATGTGTTGATCGATACATGTATATACAGGTACAGAAATTCTCATCAAGACTGGAGAATCATTCTGTGATGATAGAAATGACTGATATTGAAGCACACCAGAGGATGAATGTGTTGATCGATACATGTATATACAGGTACCGAAATTTACGTCCGCCACATATATCCTAAACTCTTGATCTCTGGCTAGTGGATGGATTCCTTGTCATCTCAGCCTAGCGAGAAAAACTCAAAGCCCTGTTCATCTGTTACTTCTTCTTCTGCCTTTCTAGCCCCCAATGGAGCATAGGCCCTCAACCAACTCACGCCAAGTCATTCTATCCTTTGCTAGTTCATCTGTTACACGCAGTGAAAATCCTTCACAAAGGGAAATGACAAGTAGTAGGTAATACACATCTTGCTCTGGCATCATGTAATATTTATGGTAAAGTAAAGAAGAGTAAGAGTGTGCATGACCAAACATCGCAAGAACAAACATTAGGTGTTTAAAATTAGGAGGATTCTGTAAGTTACTTGTAATTGTATATACTTAACTGACCTCTTTCTGTTCCATACAATTTTCATGTTTGTTTGCTTGATTCCCTAGTTAACTTAATCCCTTGTGTTGAATAATATTATCATGTCAACTTCTTTAGAACTGAACACAGATAATTGTAGAGTATCTCCTTGGGAGAGAATACGGATAATTGTAGAGTATGACTCCTTGGGAGAGAATACGGATAATTGTAGAGTATGACTCCTTGGGAGAGAATACGGATAATTGTAGAGTATGACTCCTTGGGAGAGAATACGGATAATTGTACAGTATGACTTCTTGGGAGAGAATACGGATAATTGTAGAGTATGACTCCTTGGGAGAGAATACGGATAATTGTAGAGTATGACTCCTTGGGAGAGAATACGGATAATTGTACAGTATGACTCCTTGGGAGAGAATATGGATAATTGTAGAGTATGACTCCTTTGGAGAGAATACGGATAATTGTAGAGTATGACTCCTTGGGAGAGAATACGGATAATTGTAGAGTATGACTCCTTGGGAGAGAATACGGATAATTGTAGAGTATGACTCCTTGGGAGAGACCGATGGCTTAGAGCATCCAGAGTTAATACAATGTAAAACACAATCCAACAGCCACAGTACTGACTATGTTTCAGAAAACAATTCAATACAGTGAAGATGTCAGCTTGTTTCTCAACTGTTGTTGGATGATCATATTCTCAGAATAAAAGCCTCAGTCAAGAACAGAAAGCTCTTCATAATTTCAAAGTGTTAATATCATTACATTCTTCATAAAGTTGAAAAAAGGTGGATGAGGAAAATGAGAAGAACAGAAAAGTTGGGAGCAGAAGAAGAAGAAAAGTAATAAGGGAGGATGGGAAGCAGGAGAATAAGAAGAGGACACAGTTTCATTAAAAAGAAGCTCTGGCTTCTTATCACCTAGACAAGTTCATACCATCAGGGCACAGTTGAGCAGTCGGACAACCAGATCAAATTGCTGATGCTCCAGCATGGCCCGGTTGTTCCGCACCTGTTCTCCAAGTTCATGTGTTAATGCTAAGCGAACCATTTTAGATTTCAGTGCTCGTAAAACAGCAGGGAAAATCTGGCAAATATAAATGTGTCAGTAAGAAACATATAATTATTTGTTAGTTAGTTAGTTAGTTAGTTAGTTAGTTAGTTAGTTAGTTAGTTAGTTAGTTAGTTAGCTGGGTTATCCTCATTGCACTCCGGACATGTCCATAGGTGCTCAGATCCTCCCCTCAGTATGAACCCCAACGTCCGATGGCTAATAGTACCAGTTCTATGTTGATTAACAAGTCTTCTGGCGTAGCTGGTGTGCGTCTCGTTTTTTGCTGTGCCGATCTTAATTCCCAAGTCTGCCATTCTGGCGAGTGATGTGGATTCACTGCCACCAAAGTTATAATATTACACCATATGGCAAGATGTTTTACCTTTACCAAAGTTAGCAGGCAAATATTCTCAGTGTCAGCAAGCCTAGTGGCTTGTTCACTTCCTCTTACATCCAGTTTTTACATAATCTGACCCCAGTCAGGAATCTAATTACTACACAAGAAACCAGGAAGACATGTGATGTCACTAGAAACCAAACAAGTTTGTACAACACACTCCCAGTCCTATGCTGCAGGTGAAGCAAGTAGTTTTTAGTCTAAGGCAGACACAAAACCTCCCTGTCACATGACCATCCTCGGCCGGAATGATACTGACCGAAATGATACTGACTGGAATGATACTGACCGGAATGAAACCAAACAAGTTTGTACAACACACTCCCAGTCCTATGCTGCAGGTGAAGCAAGTAGTTCTTAGTCTAAGGCAGACACAAAACCTCCCTGTCACATGACCATCCTCGGCCGGAATGATACTGACCGAAATGATACTGACTGGAATGATACTGACTGGAATGATACTGACCGGAATGATACTGACTGGAATGATACTGACCGGAATGAAACCAAACAAGTTTGTACAACACACTCCCAGTCCTATGCTGCAGGTGAAGCAAGTAGTTCTTAGTCTAAGGCAGACACAAAACCTCCCTGTCACATGACCATCCTCGGGCGGAATGATACTGACCGGAATGATACTGACTGGAATGATACTGACTGGAATGATACTGACCGGAATGATACTGACTGGAATGATACTGACCGGAATGAAACCAAACAAGTTTGTACAACACACTCCCAGTCCTATGCTGCAGGTGAAGCAAGTAGTTCTTAGTCTAAGGCAGACACAAAACCTCCCTGTCACATGACCATCCTCGGGCGGAATGATACTGACCGGAATGATACTGACTGGAATGATACTGACTGGAATGATACTGACCGGTATGATACTGACTGGAATGATACTGACCGGAATGAAACCAAACAAGTTTGTACACACTCCCAGTCCTATGCTGCAGGTGAAGCAAGTAGTTCTTAGTCTAAGGCAGACACAAAACCTCCCTGTCACATGACCATCCTCGGCCGGAATGATACTGACGGGAATGATACTGACTGGAATGATACTGACCGGAATGATACTGACCAGAATGATACTGACCGGAATGATACTGACCGGAATGAAACCAAACAAGTTTGTACACACTCCCAGTCCTATGCTGCAGGTGAAGCAAGTAGTTCTCAGTCTAAGGCAGACACAAAACCTCCCTGTCACATGACCATCCTCGGCCGGAATGATACTGACTGGAATGATACTGACCGGAATGATACTGACCGGAATGAAACCAAACAAGTTTGTACACACTCCCAGTCCTATGCTGCAGGTGAAGCAAGTAGTTCTCAGTCTAAGGCAGACACAAAACCTCCCTGTCACATGACCATCCTCGGCCGGAATGATACTGACTGGAATGATACTGACCGGAATGATACTGACCGCAATGAAACCAAACAAGTTTGTACACACTCCCAGTTCTATGCTGCAGGTGAGGCAAGTAGTTCTTAGTCTAAGGCAGACACAAAACCTCCCTGTCACATGACCATCCTCGGCCGGAACGATACTGACCGGAATGATACTGACCGGAATGATACTGACCGGAATGAAACCAAACAAGTTTGTTCACACTCCCAGTCCTATGCTGCAGGTGAAGCAAGTAGTTCTTAGTCTAAGGCAGACACAAAACCTCCCTGTCACATGACCATCCTCGGCCGGAATGATACTGACCGGAATGATACTGACCGGAATGATACTGACCGGAATGAAACCAAACAAGTTTGTACACACTCCCAGTCCTATGCTGCAGGTGAGGCAAGTAGTTCTTAGTCTAAGGCAGACACAAAACCTCCCTGTCACATGACCATCCTCGGCCGGAATGATACTGACCGGAATGATACTGACTGGAATGATACTGACCGGAATGATACTGACTGGAATGATACTGACCGGAATGAAACCAAACAAGTTTGTACACACTCCCAGTTCTATGCTGCAGGTGAAGCAAGTAGTTCTTAGTCTAAGGCAGACACAAAACCTCCCTGTCACATGACCATCCTCGGCCGGAACGATACTGACCACAGCATTTCTTGTGTGTCTTTTTTCATAACACAAAATGGGACATCCATTTTCAAGATGACAACAATCGGCTGTGTTATTTTTTCACTGGCTGTGATTTTTTCTCGGATTATTCTGTTCTCTAATCATGAGCTGCTGTTTTCTCTGTGTTTCAAATGTAGGAAATGTTGTCTTTTTCATGAAGGGCAGTGTGCACTGAAGTTGTGCCATGTGGGAGCAGGATGGTGACCGATAGTTCTGGCAGCCTCAAGCACTCTGTGCTCGCAATGTTTTTATCACTGCAGTAAACTTTATGGGAAGACAGAATCTCGTGAGCAGGGCACTGCAAACTGTTTAGACAGCAAACTCGATAAAAGCTGTCCCCAGAAATGGAATGTGTCAACCATTTTGTTTGTGTTTTTTTAGGGGAGGTGGGGGGGGGGGGGGGTAAGTTTTCTGTGTGTGTGGGAAGGCATTGACATATGCGGTTAACTCAATGGCCATGACCAGAATAGAAAACATGGTCCTCAATACTTACAATGAGGGATGCCAGTAAGGATATATAATGGAACATTTTTAATGTACAGGATCAGCATTTCACAGGATGTGGACTATTTCTAAATATAATCTATTTCTATCAACTGAGACAAGAAAACTGCTATATGGAGCCATTCTTGATGTAAAGAAGTTAATCAAGAAAAAATGAGATAATTAATTACAAATTATGTGAGAGCTAAAGCTAAGAATGAAGTACAAAACAAGACCTCACACAGTACCAATTCTCACATATAATGGTTAGAATTACAAATAAAATATACCCCAACAAGAAAAGGATCTACAGATGAATCAAATGTGTACCGTCTCCACAATGAAGGTTGGTTTCAGTGTAGGTACTGGTGTCTTCAGGAATATTACAGGGTGAGGAACTCATGTCTTCCATGCTGTAACTCATACCAACAATTCACTTCAGCAATTTTCACTTCTGCTGTTAAGCGTTGTGGGGAGGAACAGTTTGTGATCCATTGCTTGATGGGCAGTAATGGCTATTGTCATTCCATGTTAAGGCAGTAACTCTTTAATGTCATTAATCTATATTCTCCTAGGGCAGCCTCCTACTTTCACTTCAGATCGTTTCATGTGTAGCGCCTGCGTCGGTAGTTGTTCTGGCTGCATTCTTACTAAATGACCAAACCATTTCATCTTCTGTTTCTCAATGAATGTGTCGCATGGTGTTGTTCCTAGTCTGTCTGATAATATCATTTCCAACTTGGAAGGTTAAGTTGATGGCTCTTCTTGTGCATTTCATTTCACAGGTGTTAATTTTACATAGGTTAGCCTTTGATAATATCCAAGTCTGGCACTGGTAGCACAGCTTTAGTATGAATATGCTGTTTATAATCTGTTTCTTTGTGCTTATAATTATGTTTGCATGTATTATTAGCAAAGTCGGTTGGTATATAAGTGCACTGGCTCACTGGCATCTTGTTTATTTTTCCTGATCTATTCTCCCATCCTCCGAGAATATACTTCCAAGATATTCAGATTCCTTAACTTGCTTCAGACAAGTACCATTCAACTAGATGTGTAGCGGAGTAGGAATTCTACTGATCTTCATAAGTTCAGTTTTATTAGTATTTGTTTTCATGTTATATCGTCTCCGTGTTGAACTTAGCCTGTTCAAATGTTCTTGCAGCCTACTCCCCTCACCACAGAACAGGCGCTGATTGTGTGCAAACAGTAGCTTGTTTATTGTATATGGATCTAATCCTTCCTCTGGATGCAAAGTACCAAATTTTTCTGGATTGTCTGGGTCGACTGCTTTAAGCTAGCTTCTTTCGATATTCTGGTAACTCATATCACTGTTCAGAAACAGTTAAAGTAGTTTTTTTTTTTTTTATGTGTCTGCTGAAATCGAACCCTATTATTCAATGATCATGAAACTGTAAAGTGCATTCACTAACATCTTACAAATTCATATTCTGAATTTAATGAGAAAAAGTGACATCACAAAAACACAGCTACTTTATGTGGCAACCACAGGCTACAGTACTTGAAGTGTCAGTGGCAACACCAGGCTACATTACTTGAATTGTCCATGGCAACCACAGGCTACAGTACTTGAAGTGTCAGTGGCAACACCAGGCTACAGTACTTGAATTGTCCATGGCAACCACAGGCTATAGTACTTGAAGTTTCCATGGCAACCACAGGCTAAGTACTTGAAGTGTCTGTGGCAACCAGAGGTTATAGTACTTGGTTTCCATTGCCATAGGCGATAGTACTTAAAGTGTCTGTGGCAACCACAGGCTATAGTACTTGGAGTGTCCGTGGCAACCACAGGCTATAGTACTTGGAGTGTCCGTGGCAACCACAGGCTATAGTACTTGGAGTGTCCGTGGCAACCACAGGCTAAGTATTTGAAGTATACGTGGCAACCACAGGCTATTGTACTTGAAGTGTCTGTGGCAACCACAGGCTATTGTACTTGAAGTGTCTGTGGCAACCACAGGCTATAGTACTTGAAATGTCTGTGGCAACCACAGGCTATTGTACTTGAAGTGTCTGTGGCAACCACAGGCTATAGTACTT